CAAAAGCGACAAATCTCTTGATTTTCCGCTTCAAATGACAAGGAAGATCCCCAAGAACACTTCTTGGCCCAGGGCCTATCTCTAGCACAGAGATACGAGCACGCGAGCGGAAGAGAGGTGTCAGGAGCTCCACCATTTGGGGAACGATAAAGTCTTGATAGATAGCCCTTCCCGAGTCTTGCATAAAGATATCGAACCCAGCACAATACTGTGTGTCAGACAGTGGTAGCTTCGAGGATATCCTTTCCGTCGCTCTCTGTCTCAGGGCCCGCTTGAGGGAGTCAATATTGGCCATTTTGATTGCTATAATAGATGATAGATGGCACTTAATATGCAAACTTCTTACTTTGAATGGAGATGCACTCTTGCTTAAATATCATCACGTTAGGTCCAGACATGTCAGAAGGCGCCGGAAACAGGGTGATACGAGGCGCTATCGGCCAGGTTTCTTAACTTGACAGACATATATGCATGTGAGCTGGCACCACTTCATTATGGAAGGTATTATGCGGGCAACCTGCAGCTGAGCTACACGTCACAGTTGATAAAAGCGGCCGTATTTCCGCCACGTTTTCGCAGTGTAGTCCAGAATGCCCTTACATTACGGCCTTCGCCTGACCACATTAATGTCCAATGTCTCAAACGCAGCTACCCTCGCCATATTTCCGTGAGCCCAAGCAATGGCGCTCAACCCAGTGGCCCGTGCCAGTACGAGGGCCTGGAGTCGCCCACCTGTCTCTCGAGCTTGTCTATTTACCATACCGATTCGAACTCACTTCGGATACCCACCGTCAACCCCAGGACTGATACCTTCGTTGAAAGATGGAAGAGGTTCAATCCACGGATACTCTACGGGTTGTTGTAGTAATCGTTATTTTGGAAATGTCTTTAATCCTTCACCGGTCGTGGAGCCTCTAGTGCCGCGATCTGTCACGGTCGGGCCGTTCAAGGTGTTATTTTGAGTAACTCTTACCACCTATGCCGCGAAACACCACTAAACGTGAGATCGACACCGGCGAGATACGCTGAAGCCATACTATATTTACGAAAAAAATATTAAGATAATGTCCAAAACTTGGTCACTAGGGCTATTTCGCACGAAAGCTACGAGGAGCTCATCATTGTGAGAGATATCAATATTTTCTCCCTTTGCGAACATCTTCTACTCCTCTTATTGGAAATATAAAACCCCGAATTGACCAGAATTGACATTTGGAACATACAATAACCGTGGAAGTTAGAGGCACATAGCCTAAATTCTAAATGGCCGTGTCCTGTGTCTCTCAAATTAGCATTTGGCTGAAAGGATCCTGTCAAAAGAAAGGATCGAGATAATACAATCGAATTATTACGACAGATCTATGTGCTGCCCTGATTCAACCGCCCCATTCTTCTTTGGGGTCTCGCTCATCTCTCTACCTGTCCCGCTTTAGAACAAACTAGCCATACAGCCAAGAAGAATGTCAACTGGGATCACTGGCAGCTTATTGCAGCTTGAGCCAAACGCAGCATGAACAAAAACCAAGTCAGATTGGCGGCCTCCATCGTTTTACGTCCAGACAGAATGAGATGGCTCAGGAAGAGTGGGGAATGTTTTGGCGAATTATAGAAGAAACTATCTCACATGAGCCGCCTTTATGACACTGTTTCATATCTCTTGCTCATTAACAACACCATGCAAGAGGGGCCTCCGGCATTGTAGGACTTCTAGAGAGATACAGGTGCGTTGAGTCGCGCGTTTCAAGCGAGACGCCACTGAACACAGCCATTGATAAAACCTTACTCATCTGGGTGTGATCATTTTTGCCGCACGATTAGAACTCCAAGACAAGCACGACACCGTCCGGGGCATTCATTACGGTAAAATACTCGACAAGCCCAGCTTTCATTATATGCGACGCAATTGTCCACTGAAAGACTAGGAAGCTCGAAAAGCGATTTACTGCCCATATGGGAAATATTTATCTTCTACAGCGATACGTTGTACAACGTCTTCCCGTAAGGTATAAATTTGCAGATTGCACAGTCTGGCTACGAAAGTGTGACATGCATTAGGCGATGGTCATCTTTGAAAATTCTGATTTGCGATTACCGCTCTTAAATTCATTCTGACTTCGGCAAACCGGACAAAAGAGATCAAAAACAGCTGATAGAATGGCATCAAATTCGGGCTAGAAGTGTCAGAAACTCCTCTCTAGTCTGCGCATCCGAGCGCATGCGTCCCAGCATGCAGCTAGTGGTGGTGGTGCTTCCGACTTTCTGTATGCCGCGCATACCCATGCACAGGTGAGAGGAGCTCATCACGACGCCGACGCCTTGGGGCTTGAGGACATCTGAAATGGCGATCGCAACTTCTTTGGTCAAACGCTCTTGAACTTGGAGTCTGCGAGCGAACATCTCTGCAAGTCGAGCTAGTTTGGAGAGACCAAGAATGCGGCCGTCTGGGATGTAACCGATGTGTATCTGCCTCGTAATGTCAGTTATATACGCAAGTGACTGGTAGCACAGTTTATACCTTTCCAGTAAATGGAACCATGTGGTGTTCGCAGAGCGAAAAGATATCGATATCTTTCACAACGACCATCTCATCATGGCTCTCATGGAAAATAGCCCCGTTAACCAGATCCTCAACTCTCTCCTCATAGCCCTTGGTGAAATAGAGCATGGCCTTGGCATATCGCTCTGGAGTATGCAGTAGACCTTCGCGCTCCGGGTTTTCACCAACGCACTTCAGTATTATCCGCGCAGCTTCTGCAAGCTTCTGAATTCGCTCTTCATTTTCGTCACCGATCGACAACGTAAAGGGCCCTTTTTCGCTTGAGCCTAGATATATAAGTTGGGAAATGTAAGTCCAACCGGGCCACAATGGTTCAGTTAAAGATAGCTTACCCAGCCAGCTCAGATCATCAGAGTCAATGGGTAGGTTTTGTCCATGAGCACGATCGGAAGGACAGATGGTCGAGCGTACGGTCAGTTGTCTACTTTCACCTGGGATATCACAAATAGTAGTTGATTGCTCGTTGATCATAATGATCCAAATAATCCAATGATATCTCAGCAGGCTAGCGCGGAATCTTTATATACCTAGCAGCTCCTGTTTCTGTTTGGAGGGGGAATTTTATGACGAGCCACGGGAGGAGATAGGACAGTAGAGCATAATAAGTGGAGAGAATAGTGCTGAAATAAAATGACTGCAGGCCCGAGTATTTAAAAGAAGACATCCGGCCGTCGAAGGGACAATCGCTGCGCAACACGCCAGAGAGGCTCTAGCATGGCGTTAGGGCTCTAGACCAGGGGACAGTGCTTGATAGTGTCATCTAATCAGATACTACCACAAACTGATCAGACTGCTCTGAGGATGTATTACCAAGTATTACCGGTCACCAAATAATGGCTAAATTTTGATTCGCGTAAACCTTTCTCACGGGAGCCAACGCAAAATCCTTAGATGGTGGAGATTTATCGGTGTGTGATAATTCCCATAAAAGCTATAATAGGAGCTTGATGTCAACCTATGAGTTTTACCCACGTGGACCCCTCCTTACTAGAGTTTGGGCTAGAACTCAGAAATCCAGCGTGAAATACTCCTCATTCCAACCACCAACCAATTTTTGCCCGATAAGAGACGCTACATCGCCTATCCGTCAAAGTCAAGATACGGCTGATCTCAACTATCTTTCGCAGGCTTCCCGAAATGTGGCCATTGGAAGTACAACATCCCTTCAAAAGCCGTTATCTAGTGCAGAATATAGTGCAGGGCTTGAATTCTGGGTTGGAGGCCCAGGACGGGTCACTGATCGAGAGTTCATTATCCCTCAGCTCTCAGAGCTACTGTACTGGTTCCTCTGTAAGCGTCTCCTATTTCTATCTCGGTATTAGAAAGATGCAACACCTGAGATTAAGAACTAACGCTTCAGCCAAATTTTGGCTCTCGGAATCAATATCGACTGAAGATCAGTTGGTCTCAAATAGGAAGGGCAAGGAAGGATGAATGCAAATAGATCCTATTCCCTCTTCTACTGCTCAAAACTGTAAGGCGGAATACCCTGATCTCTGGTCATAGCCGGGATGCATTCGTTTAAACATAATATAGTGTTAGATACCAGTAGAAGCCTAGAAGCACCAGCATATATTACTAGCATGATAGATCCGTGCAGGGATAGGTGACTAGAGTAGAGGAACCCCCAGAGGGTGATTATTGATTATGACTAAACAATAAAAGCCAGGCTCTTCTGACATTATGCCGGTGTAGGGTTAGCGATCGGCAGGGGATTAGAAATTTTGTATATAATCACCTTAGGGTCCGCTATAGCTGTAATAAGCTCCTTCCAAGGAGATCTTCCTCCGCTGAACTATGTCTATCATAAGAGATGCTGATCTGTGACCGGAACGGCGACAGCTGGTTAAAAATTTGTCGTGCTGACATTGCTGTCATTAGTAACTACCGATTTGTACAGCGCTGGACGAAGTGAAAGCGATATCTGAATCAGTAATAAACGACCCTTACAGTCATCGCTTGTCTCAAAAACCACGGTTCGGTATTGGGACGTTACTTGAGACACTGGGTTAGCCATATCGACGAGGCAACTCGGCCGATCATGCGGGAGGCCCATTATGCGGGAGGCCCATTATGCGGGAGGCCCATTATGCGGGAGGCCCATTATGCGGGAGGCCATCCTTGTGGGTGGGCAATGTTATGCTGTAAGAAAACTGAAGCTGTCGAGGCTTTCCCACTTAATGGCAACTTTGTGTAAAGCAACATTATATGCATGCATTTGCGCGGCATCCCGAATACAGTCATGACTCTCTATTGATCTTGTTGATCGAAGGTAACGAGCCAGTGATCACAATCACAGCACAGCCCTTCTACACACCGCTCTATATTATACTCACCGCAATTTCATCTTAAAGGACCGGCAAAGTCTAGAACCAGTAGCTCACTATAAGAGCAAGCCATTAGAGCCGTACCAAGGAAGGATATTGGAGATCAGAACTCCAAGATGCCCTCATCTATGTGTCATGAGAACCGACTCGGTACGTCTATGAGGAAGCATATTGTTTCTTGCCGCTCCAAACGTCGTCGAAAATATCAAAGAAAATCCTAATAATTCCAAGACCAAGACTTGACATATCATTTAAGTTTGCTGAAAATTGGCAACTCCAATGATGAATGCGAGGACGCCCTTCTAGCTCCCATCTTGACAAGCGCAGTGCTTAATCAACCTGCACTCGCTCCATTGCAATATGGGCTTCTGGGGGGTGTAGTGGAAATTGAGACACCTCATCGAGTTGGCACAGAAATCCAACAACCGAACGACGACCCCCGGTTATTTTTCAATGTCTCATCACCTTCTAGTGTGTTTATCTGTGGGTCTCAGGGCTCTGGAAAAAGTCACACACTGTCCTGTCTACTTGAAGGATGTTTGATCCCCTCCAGAGCGGGGAGGCTTTTGAATCCACTTACAGCTGTTGTCTTTCATTACGATACATTTATCTGTGACAATGGCGGCTCACCCTGTGAAGCTGCTTTCCTGGCATCTAATCCAACCATCAAAGTCAGAGTCCTCTGTGCTCCAACCAATCTCCGGACTATACAGGTAAAGTGAGCATATAGCCCTCGCATTACATTGCTCATAACGCTATAGGGAACCTATTCTAGATTCAACATCGAAGTTGAGCCTTTACAGATAGACCAGTCCGATCTCAACACTAAACGTATGCTGGATCTTATGGCAGTCAATCGAGATAATGGCGCAGTTCCATTATACTTGCATACGGTACAGCGAATTTTGCGAGAAATGCGGCTATTGCAGCAAAACGCAGGATCTAAATTTGACTATCAAGATTTTAAGAGCCGAGTTCTTCGTTCAGAGCTTCTGCCAGGTCAACTTGAGCCTTTGAAACAGAGGCTGGACACCCTTGAGAGCTTCATGGCACCCCAACAAGCAGGGACAAGCTACCAAATGAAAGGGAAGGCGAAGAAAAAGAACGCAGGCTCCAGCTGGATACCAAAGGTAAATCTCTTCAGTCCGTCTGCAGATTCCTCAAAGGTTTATCATAAACTAGGCCTCGCAATTGACAATCGTGGACCTTTCCTGTCCGTGCATCTCACCTGACACGGCTTGCAGCCTCTTCAACGTCTGTTTTGGAATATTTATGGAGCAGGATACCAAAATTGGCAGAATTGTAGCGCTTGATGAGGCCCATAAGGTGCGATATACACCTGAGATTGTAATTCGGTTGACGTTAATTGGCTTTCAGTACATGAAGGATTCCGTCGAAGCACAAGGGTTCACAGATACTCTCCTCTCAACGGTTCGATTACAACGTCACCTCGGCGCCCGGATCTTGATTTCGACACAAGAACCAACAATTTCCAGTGACCTTCTCGGTCTGTGCTCCGTCGCTATTGTCCATCGATTCTCATCGCCCGCATGGGCACACACATTGCAAGCTCATGTTGCCGCGGCTGCCTTGAGCCTGCAGTCAACAAAGGAGAGCCAGGCAAATCACGAGCCTGGAGCGATTGGGATTCCCACAAAGCTATCTATCTTCCATCGGATTGTACACCTTCGAGTGGGAGAGGCTTTGCTCTTCTCGCCAAGCGCCGTGGTCAGTGTTACACCTAAGCAAGCCGATTCGTTGGGCATGAGCAGGCTAGGTTCAGGCTATGTGAAAATCAAGATTAGGGATAGGCTTACAGAGGATGGTGGAAAAAGTGTTCTTTCCTCCTAGGTACAGTAGAAATGCCGCATTCAGAGGGAGCACTGTGTTCTTGTCTTTGCCTTTTGAATGGCATAAAATGTCGTACGGATATCGTGCAGGGATGGTTTAAATAGAACAACAGTCATGAAAGCCGCACCAATAGACTGGTTATCCGATATCATCAAATGCCTCGTCCCGATGGTTCTCTTGGATGAGATAAATCGAGCAACAAAGCGCGTTTACCCTACTAGGAAACTGGTAATCGCCACTACCATTATCTGTCCCTGAGAATTCGCTAATTGTCCAAGATATTTTTCTTAACTTGGAAGGGAAATGCCTTCCATGATATTATAATCCATCTGTCCATCAAGCGTAAAGGCTTTGACAGAGCGTTCTTCAAGGGTCACTGCTTGTGCATGCCGGTTGACGAATAGCATAGGTGTGCTGTTTCTCTCAAACCTGAAGATGCTTGTCTATCCCTCTCTCTCACACCCTTTGTAATCTAATTCTCAAGATAGTCTCGATCGTATCAGGCAAACCAATGTAAGCCCTCAACATGAATACCTTGAACCAACGAGATGTATTATGCTGACTGAGAAAGTTTCGAGGCTTGGTCTCCTGCCTTCCCCGATCATCAATCAACCTTGTGATTGCAAGCACGAAAATAGACAGAATACCGAAGTTTCGTGACCCGTCACTCCAACGCAAGCTAACATGAGCACAACAGCGCTATATGAACAAGCAGCAAAGCGATCATGTCCTTTACCAGAGTCCGTCCCGACCATACGACGCGCGTGTAGGGCTTTCCGGTTTGCAAAGCGTCGTTAAGGTGATGCTCTTCTCGACTCGATAATAATGCCTCGAGTGTCTCAAAAAAAGGGGTTACTCTTTGGGTTCCTTCTCCAAATTTAGCCCCTTCAGATTCATAATCGGGCTTTCAACCGTATCTCCTTCGCTTCCCATCTTGGCCAAGGCCGATTCCGGATCAAACTTGAGGCTCTTTGCCTTCCATCCATCGTGTAGCCCTTTTCTGATCTCCCATCGCCATGCATCAGCGTACGCATCGTTCCAGTCTTCAATGAAACCTCTGGCCTCGCGTTCGGTATTGAAACGCTGGTGACACGCGTTCTGGTATTGGCTAGTTGACATTTTCGCTGTCCTAAATCGTGTTATTCGGTTCTTAATTCGCTTCGGCATAAAGCTTACTTCCAGTCTCCGAAAATGCCGATAGTTCGGCCATTTGCAACGGCATAATAATAAATTCCTCGACATGGCAGGGTAGCTATGTCGCCTGCGGTACATTTCAGAGCTTCGTCAAATTCTTCAAATCCCTTTCGTCTCATTGAATTTCGCGCATCTTCGAGGCTTTTGAAATCTTTTTGTTCTGCGCCATCGAAACCTGTCACTCGAGGATGTACATGGCCCCTAAGCAAATCAATTATTAACAAGCATAACACTCGTCCCATAACAAGTTGTGTTTACCAAGAAGAATATATCGTTGGTTTGTCAACCCGCCCCTTATATACGGCGTAGAATTTTCTTTCATGATTATCCCGTGGACTCATTGCTAATATAGAGTATTAGTAGAATAACGAATATACTGTAAGTTGTCACGGAAGCTTGGGATATAAAAGAGTATGGAGATTATGGGTGCTGGTGAGGCTTTAATTTCTCTGTTAGAAAAATCTTTGGGCTTGTACCGCTGTCCTTAGAGAAAGGGGGTTGACGTGTCTCTGCATATGGGGGCTACTGCCGCATCTGCCTTTGGGAAGACGAGGAAGTGGGGATTTATTACAATATACACCCGAAACAGTTTAGTCTGTCTCAATTGGGTTTGACGTTTTCCGTTATGTTCGGGGATTCTAACATTCCGAGAATTGGAACTTTTGACACCTTCCCTTCATGTTGAGCAGGGATACCCTGTTCAACGTAATTCCTATCTGCGCGTCCAAAACTGACCATAACGATTCAAAAGGGAGGAGGGACAGTTTGGTTGAGGTGTTGCAGATTTTAAATAAATTTAGTGTTCACACGAAGGAGCATTCAAGAAGCTCCACAGAGGGTTTCCAACCATTTCCCCTGAGGGAGCGACAACAAGGTCGGTCTCGAGGCGCAAAGAGTTGACGGACGCATTACAGAATCTAAAACATACACAGAAGTTCGGACGAGGACAGGTAATGTCTGTCCGTCAATACATTTGAATTGCGGAGCTTATTGGGTAATATTTCGGTTCACATCCTGTTGCCCATGCATCGGAGCAAAGCTGTTCCGATCCGTCGGTGTAATTAGCCAACAGTATCCATTAGTTAACGTCCAAATACCATCGTGCCCCCCCCGCCCCTGGCCTTTCCGTCAGTGTGGCTGAATACTGCTTAGTACATCATACTGCGCAAAAATTGGAGATCACAAGTCTGAATGGCTATCGTGGCCCTAGCTGGAAGTGGCTTCTCTGGGGATCCACCGACGCTGTTGCTCCGTCCGCCATGTTCTGCAGACGGTCGGATTTTGACCAAAGTTGCCCCCATAGTCCGCTGTAAACCGCTATCCCTCCATCATCATAGTATGGAGGGAATCAAGAGACCCTTGTTCGGATAAAGAAAGTATAGAAGAGTATGGCTATTGAGAAGCCATGAAAAAAGTCACATTCAAGCACGAAGGCGAAGCTGCTTGGCGAATTTTCAATCTCCCTCCACCGGCCTGTATCGGCGGACGTGTCCCGTCAAGGGGCCGTTTGTGGATGGTTGGCGACGCTGCATAAACATAGGAGGCCAAACTAATCCGTACTCGTGAGGAAATCGGACTTGAACAGCTCAGGAACGATTCGCATTCAAACCGACACACCTATCCAGTCTCATGATGCCATCCGCGTCTAAGCAAAAAGGAATTAGAATGGTAAGTGGAATAAAAGGGTCTGCATGGCTGTACATGAACCTCAATTGCTTGGGGAATCCGTAAAATAAGCGATGACAAAGGCAGCTACTCCTGTGCGTTTAGATCATCATCACTAAGCGTAAGACCACCAATACAGTCGCGCGAGTCACAAAAGAGGGGGCTGAAAGTGGAACGGAAAGCAACGGTGTATCTCATAGCTTGGATAGCCTGGAGATAAACTGCGCCACTGCGGAGATTTGAATGACTGAATTGTCTGCACAAGTCCTCGGTAGCTCAGTCCCCTGAAAGGAGCTACAGGCATTGGCGAAAACAGCCCATGTGATTACATCTGCTTTGGGAGGGCACCATACATGATTGAGCTGCGTTCGAAGCCGCAACCTTTCGTCTTGTTCAAAAACGTTGCATGCTGGGTGTGAAGAGAAAGAACTAGGTCTGTGATAGCACCTTCTCTCCTGCCATCCATTGCATCGGGCATTCTATTAGATTATGCATATGGGAGATGTGACAATATTACCAAGTATATGATTGGGAATTGGTATGACCCAAGGTCTGTGATATGGAAACTGAGCTCGCTTTTTCATTTTGACGAGGGAGCTCGAAAAGCCAGAATATCCATTATCAGAGGATGAGGTCTCGACAATACATATATCACGGACCCCATCCAGCTTTTCAATCCACATGTCCAAGAAAAACCTCAAAGTCTTTTACAATCATAGTAGTCTGCTATGACAGCGACTTTGGCAATCATGTCAAGGGAGAGCCTCCCAGGTATGTGGTCATACTGCAATGTATGATCTTCAGGGGGAGCAGAAGTGCCTTGAGATCCCATTCCGATGTTGTCAACTCAACAAAGCCTTGTTGTGAGAAGGTGACGCTCTCTTTCCAACCACTCCAGAGAACTTTCTTGAAAATTGGATGCTTCGCAGAAACTTGGATTCTTAAAACCTTTCGGGAAAACCCTCGTCACTCTTGCACCGCTCTCTCATGTCTGCATCGATGTGCGAGATTCCTGCAGAGCCCGATTCGGGCCTTCGGCCAAATTCTCACTCAACAAGCCAGTAGAGAGCCTCGCAAGTGCTTGAATGGACTCGATGGCTTAATCCTCTTCATGAAGCCCTTTCGAAGGGGACCGAGTGGAGTCATGTGTAGCCTGGTCGCAAGTTGGCACCCGGTTCTCTCACTGGAAAGGGCAAAAAAAGGCTTTATAGGGCAGTCACCATTGCCGTTACTCTTCCATCCAGAGACGGTAGCATCGAGGTTGTAGAGGAACAAAGCGTATGTACATCGCAAGGGAAAGATTTTTACTAGAAGGGTGTGCCAGCACGGTCTTTTGATCTAAAATCTGCTTGGGGTAAGCCAAGTAGTGCTAATCCCTCGTAAACGCCTTAACTAGGATAAAGGCATCTCCCAAGGTCTGTCCTAGGATCTGCACCGTAATTTGGGATGTTTGGCATTACGGGTGTCGTAACACCGTGTTACTTAGCCAGCTATGTGGGGAGTCAACCTGCCGTATGGTAGTCGTACTTTCTTCGATCAATCAGCTCAGTCATCTCGAATTGGTTCTCCAAGCTGAATAATCAATTGCCTATTCCAACCCATTCTCGTCCTGGAAGCTAATTTCCGGAATGCGGAACAGGGTCAAAGGAAAGCTGTTGACATGGAATCACCCCTGACCCGCCTATCCTGTAAAAGATTTGATCGTGGATTCAACCAGTAAATAAACATAAAGTAAACTGCTGGATTTGTTTCTCGATCTGCTGAACAACTCGAAGGTTGATCGATACCCACATAGTAAAGATCAATTGTACTGAAGGGTACATCCACTCGATTTACAGTGTCTCTGAGCATTGTCTTTCCGGGTAAAAGTCATTCCACACGAACAATAAATGGGAGTTTTGACGCCCCAAGCCTTCTCTGCAGCCTCCTTGTGAGCAACGGTGACATGCCGCTGAACGTCTCTCCTCTCGGCCGCAGCATAGAAACATAGTTTGCATTTAACAGGTAGAACATGGATCCGCATATGTTTTCTAAAGAATCAGGATCTGGGCGGTATCTGTAATGGACAGGGAGCTCACCTTAAATCACACTTTTGAGTGAAGCCGGCCTTGTCATTACATCTCGACTCTTGGCAGTAAAAAAGTCCATCGTGTGACGATGGCGCGATATTATCATACAAAGGCATCTCAGCCTCTTCGATTATAGCATCGCTCATAGATGACACGTCTGGGGTGATGAAGTTCGTTCCTGCCGGGATTTTGCTGGTGAGATGTTTTGGATTATTTGAAATGACATCGGATTCTGGATAATATAGAAAAGAATCTTCACAAATCTTGCTCTACTGAGACTCATATTTGCGAATAATCTCGTCCATTTTTATCCGATCACTTGCCAGATAATCCAGCAGTATATTGAAGGCGGAAAATGCGGTCGTTCTCTTCCTTTGCATTTCTGGTAAAAGATTTGAGGATATATATGAACACTCAGATAGGTCGCAATATCCGCTCCGGGCCACATATCGAAAGGTCCACTGTGCCTATCTGTCATTCGTCCACGTCATCGCCAAATCGGTCGACAATTATGCATGACTGTCAAGTTAGTGAGGTGCATATATGTATAGTGTGTTGGCTAAATTTACTCTACGAGCCGAGTAATCATATCGCGTAGCTAACTCAGTCCATTGAAAATACACTAGAAGGACTTTTTTTGGCACCGTTGCGCTCAATAGGGTCAAATTAATAGATTTCAAATATCATGCCTTTCTGAAACAATCCCGGAATGTCAAACCTGCTACAGTTACAGCGAAAAGATAGTTCCTCCCTTGGCGCAGACGATCCACCGACCTGACCGCGCTAAGTTGAGGGCCGCCATAATGATTTTCCAAAATATCACTGAGTCCAGTTTATTTCAATGCTTCATAACCACCGAATATTCGCAGGATATAATATAAATTTCCTGAGAGTGATACGGGAACATAACTAGTTAGTTAGAACATGAGCTTAGGTGTAAATTGCTTAATTAGCCAATCAATGGATAATTGGATTATCAGCACGAGGGTCTTGGCAGTGCATCCCCAGAAATGAAAAGTAATCATTGAGGAGGGGCTGCATTTTACTAATAAAAGTACATTTTCAGGAGAAAATAGAAGTTTATGATTCACAGCCAGCCAATAGCGGCGTAACTGCCAGGCCAAGAAGCCCTTTTGCCATCTTCAATGAAGAGTGCAATTTTCATCGCCTACTCTGGTAGCGTAGGACTTTTGGAAAATAACGACGGGCCGGCTCGCATCGATTTTGCAGCTTGTATTGGGACACTGTTTCATATCTCTCACACGTTAGCAATGCCCTGCATGTGGCCATCCCGCATTATGGGCCTCCCGCATTATGGGCTCCCGCATTATGGGCCTCCCGCATTATGGGCCTCCTGCATTACAGGCCTCCTGCATTGTTGGACTTTAGCGGGATAAAAGTACGTTGTGTCGTGCGTTTCAAGCGGAACATAACTGAACCTAGTGTGTGCGCTGGAATGCACGGATCCTGTTCATTGAGATACGACATGTGGAAATATATTTTTTAACATCCATGGAGAATCACTCCCCGTGAAATATAGAAACACCAACCTGGCATTTTGAATGCTTCAAACCTATAATTCTACTCCATGTCATGTTGGCAATATCCCTCTTGATTCTCAACTCGGTGAGAATAGTAGTAAGGTCAATAACTAGATCAGAAACTAGGTTAATTGTTGAGCTATATTTTACGCAACCCTTCCTTTCTGGATGGTGCTCACAAGTCTGCCTAGAATTCAAGTGACTGAATACGCAATTACATCCTCAAATATGCCTCACGCGCGCGAATTATATTTATTTGGGTATACCGGTGGCGTCAGTAAAGCATACCTTTGCTTTTCGCGTATGTGATGCAAGGCTGCAGTTATCTGCATAATATCCTATCAGGCCAAGTGCTCAAATCCTAAGTAGCTTTCCCACATTTTTATATGTAATCTACTATTTGAAAATACAAATTGGGTAATACTTGCGCATAACTAAGCCCCTGGCTTCACGGGTAATCCTAGTTTCCAGAGTCCTGCATTGGTCGTTCAGACTAATATAATAAGGGTTCTTCTTCAAAATCACCTTGAGCTCAACTCAATTTCGATCCACACGACGTTCTTTGTTTACGATCTTTTACTCTTCAAAATGGTCCTGAGAAATTTCCACACCGATGCCCTCCGGGATATATGTACTGAAGAGCAACTTGATCTTCTCAATTCCATTGATACCCTCCGTTCTCAAGGTATTAGCCACTATATCTCGCTGCCACAGATTATAGTCTGTGGTGACCAGTCTTCTGGCAAGAGCTCAGTCCTCGAGGCCATATCCGGTGTAGGCTTCCCTGTCAAAAGCAACCTGTGCACCCGATTCCCTACCGAGCTTGTCCTACGGAAGCATTCCCATGTCGGCGTTCGGGTATCCATCGTGCCTCACCACACGCGCAGCGATAGTGAGCAACGATCACTTAGTGATTTCTGTGAACAGTTGGATAGCTTCGAAGGCCTACCCATCCTGATCGAGAACGCGAAAGGGGCAATGGGGATAACGACCCACGGAAGGGCTTTCTCAAATGACCTCTTGCGGGTCGAGGTGTCAGGTCCAGACCGCCCCCATCTGACAATTGTGGACCTCCCGGGACTTATCCATTCGGAAACCAAACAACAGTCGGCCATGGATGTTCAGCTTGTTCAGGATGTGGTTCAATCCTATATGAAAGAGCCGCGCAGCATCATCCTCGCCGTCGTGTCCGCCAAGAATGACTTTGCCAATCAAATCGTTCTCAAATTGGCTCGAGATGCAGACCCATCCGGGAAACGGACGCTCGGCATCATAACAAAGCCTGATACACTCGCAGGGGGATCGGAGAGTGAAACGATGTTTGTGTCATTGGCAAAGAATCAGGACGTGGAGTTTCGGCTTGGGTGGCATGTCCTGAAGAACATGGACATGGATAAAGGCCATCGGAGCCTAGACCAACGCGATGCTGAGGAACTTGAGTTTTTCTCCCAAGGGATATGGAAAGATTTACCAAGCTCACTAGTCGGTATCGATAGCCTACGGCCCCGGTTGAGTAAGGTACTGCTTTCGCAGATCGCTACCGAGCTACCAAGCTTGATTAGAGAGATCGAAGACAAGACCAACCACTGCAGTACTCGCCTGCAAAGACTTGGTAAACCTCGTACTACCATCGACGAGCAGAAGTCTCATCTTCTGAATATAAGCCAATCACTCCAGGAGCTTGTGAAAGCGGCTATTGATGGCACGTACAATGACCCTTTTTTTGGGGATGCCCACTTCACCAAAGGATATCACAAAAGAATACGAGCCATAGTGCAGAACTCCAATGAAGAATTCGCCGAGCGAATTAGCCGAGGGGGTCATTACCGACAAATCTGTGAGCCTAATGATGGACAGATACCAGCTAAGCACCAGGTCAGTGTTACTCGTGAGGAGTATATAAAGCACATCAGTCATCTTCTCAAGAGAACCAGAGGTCGCGAGCTGCCTGGGACTTTCAACCCAATGATCGTTCGTGATCTGTTTTTGGAACAGTGCTCCCTGTGGGAACAGTTGACGCGGAGCCATACGGACGGAATATGGGCTGCTGCCAGAGAGTTTCTCGCCCTTGTCGTTAAACATGTCACAGATGAAGGCACGTCGACCGCATTGATCGATGAGATCATAGTCCCAGCCTGCGACTCTATCAAGCAGGAAATCGACAGCAAGACTCGAGAGTTCCTGAAGCCACACCAGACAGGGCATCCGATCACCTACAATCACTACTTCACGGAAACCCTGCAGAAGATTCGGGTCAAGCGACAGGAAGATGAGCTCGCCAAGACCTTGCAGCGCTTCTTTAGGGTTGATTCTTTGGAGGAGCCTTATTACGTCCAGCATTCGATAAATCTTGACCAGCTCCTCAAATCGCTGGTGCAGGAATCCGAACCCGACATGGTACGTTTTGCGTCGATCGAAGCATTGGACTGTATGCTGGCTTATTATAAGGTGATTCTTAACGCATGTTCTTTGAAGGGGTTTCCGATCTAACGGAAGACAGGTTGCGCTGAAGCGTTTTGTCGATGACATTGCCAACGAAGTTGTGGAGGGGAGACTCATGTCTTCACTGTCCCGCATTCTCTCGCCGGTGACTGTATTCGACATGCCAGCGAATCTTATCATGAGGATTGCTGGTGAGTCGAAGGAAAGCCAAACAGTCCGCGAGCAGCTCCTCAAGGAACTCTTGATCTTGACCAAAGGTTCGGAGACCTGCAAGCGGTTTGTTAAAACAAAGATCGACGGTATGTCAACCCCTGCGGTGATCGATTCGATTATCTAATTTTGTCTGCAGAAGGTAGTGAACCTCTACTAGGTGACGATTACTTGACAATGGATAGATCCATTTGTGCGGAAGTGATATTGGAAACAGAAAACCCGGAGCTTTCTGTCCCGTCAGATGAACTTGTGGACCCTCCTGAGGCTCCAGATTGGTCTATTAACGAGAATTCGCCACCTCCTTCCGAAGAGGAGTACAAACAAAGTGAGATGACTTTGAAAAGAGCGAGTAAGAAGCAAGCGAGAAGCAAAAACCGCAGCTAAATCCTTCCCTCTCTGGAAATGGTACAGTTTGAACGGAAGTGATTGGCTTCGAAAGCGGACTAGATCTAGCAGTTTGGGGTGTGTGTTTTTCATGACAGGATCTACCTTGATATCTTAATGCTGTTCAGTTCCGTGGTGCCTGGTATGGGAGGACGCCGTATTTTACACGAATGAAGCTGATCTTCCAACTAATGGGTCTCTCGCCATCCCCACATGTATTTCGTTCTTCGCGGCGAATTGCATGTTGACTGTTGCGCTCTAAATTTAGTATTTTGTACTTCACAGTTCACCTACAAGATAACCCTACCTACAGGTATGGGAGCTCACTTCGTGATAATACTTGGCGCGTACTCCTAGAGCATCATGCAAAATACCTAAAAAGACGAGAACCCGTAGTAAGGCTAACCATAGCAACGGTACAGTTGCGAGATACTCTTAGGACCCGCAGTGAAACTAGGCCCTGGGACGTTCTGACCCGCACTGACAAGTCGGCTCCGCATAACGTGGGGAGGGGGAGGGTCTATATGGCCGAAGCTGGATACTTATTCATAATGGATTGACTCCGCCTAATTCATTGCATTTACTACGTGTTTTGGGGCACTCAGACCTGATTGGAATTATGTTCTTACTTTAATGTGTAATCATCAATACAACGTAAGGCATTATGAAGCGTTTAAGTTGCTTCAGCTATTCTTCAATCATCTAACCGGCCCCTTACAAAAAATACTATTTTTTCGGACCCTCGCTCCACGAGGGTCCGCCACCCATACGATACGTGCCCACCCAAACGATATCGCGTTTTCCCATAGTAAACACCCCTTTCAACACGCGATTTCTCGCCACAAACATGCCTAAATCCAAAGAATTAAATGCATCTATTGAATCTCGCATTCAATTGGCCATTCTTGAATTTGAGAATCTTGAAAGCCCTAATATTAAAGCGTGGGCGCGCGCTAAAAACCTACCCTACTAGCGGCTTCTTCCTCGGTATCAAGGCCGCCCATCGCTCTCTGACCGGCAACCTAACGGTCGCAAGCTTGATGAATTGCAAGAATCTGCCCTTTGCCGCTATATCAATTTCCTTGATTCAATCAGCTTTCCTCCTAACGACCGGCAATCGCGGCCGCGGCCAATACAATCCTTGCTAGTAGCCATACTGCTCTAACTAAACCGCCTACAATCGGTGACCATTGGCTACGTCGCTTCCTTCAACGCCATGCTGAGTATCTCTCTCGCCGCCGCGAGCTATGGATATAGAGAGAAAGAAGTGCCTAGATAGGCAGATTGTAAGAGAGCGGTTCAATTCCTACCAGGAGACGATTGCTCAATATGGAATTAGCGCGGACGATATTTGGAACTTCGATGAGACCGGTTTTAATATCGGCGTTGTTCAAGACCTGTGGTTTATTACTCGCGAACCTAAGCGCCAAATCTTTGACGGTTTTAGTACTAATCGCGAGTATGCAACTGCTATTGAAGCAGTCTCAGCTACTAGGTCTCCTATCGCACCGGTAGCAATCCTACGCTCTAAGGTCCTTCTACTACAATGGTAAGAGATAGTAGGCGATGAGAGAATCGCTGTGACATATACTGGCTGTTTCAACATCGTACTAGCCCTACAGTGGATTCAACTATTCAATAAGCTTACCAAGGATTCGGTCAAGGGTACACATCGTATGTTAATCTGCGACCAATTCGGCTCGCATTCAATATACGAATTCGTCAAGTACTGTGAGGATCATCAGATTATACTCTTCTTCTTACCTCCTCATTCAAGCCAAATAATTCAACCGCTTGATGTTGGTGTTTTTAGTGCTTAAAAGCACTGGCACAGTGAGTGGGTGTATGATGCGACAGTCAGTGGCTACGAGAAGATTACCAATGACGATTTCCTTGGTGCGATCGCGCAGATTCGGCAGAAGACCTTCAAACCTTCTACAATCAAGCTAGGATTTCGATTGGCTGGCCTCTGGCCAACCAATCCTACGATAGTCCTCGAAAACTTAGTCGATGAGGTCGATGAGGTCGATCTCGGCTTTCACACACCAAACCCTCCGTCAACAATAGCGGCCGGTGGCTAAGATTCATCAAAATTTAGTACACCAAAGACCGCTGAGCGTGAGAAGAAGCTAGATGAAGGCTAGAGGATAAGATCTCTCGTATGCAGCAAACACCCTCTTGTCGCCTACTCAAGAAATTAGCAAAAGCTACAACCAAGCTCGTCTATCTTGTTGATGAGCTGCAGGGTAATACCAAGAACTCGAATTACCTACGAGAGATACGCTACGCACGCGAGATCGGTCACGAAAGGCCTCCAAGTTAACCGAGATAATGCATTCTAGCCAGGTTGAGCGTATAAAGCGATTTATCCAGAGTGGTGATGATCTAAAGGCTGTTATGAAGTTGCGACTTGAATACTAGGGATATAAATCTTAGACACTCCAATACCCGCCGTAGGCAAATCCAAATTATGCATCATTGCTGTTGAAGACATCTGAGTTGGCTCAGAAGAGCGTCGCCCTTGAGAATTCTGGATAGGAATGCACTAGGGGCCTCTCCGTTACAATGCGTCAATATCTCTTCCCCACGGGAGACAAAGTCATGTGTGGGTGCGCAGAAAGCCACGGATATCTACATGCTGCGTATCTCAATCAGCGGTGTGGAAAATGTGCCAATCGATTGAATCGGTTGTGTATCGGCACTGGTTGTATGGCAGAGGACGAAGATTGCTGCTTGATTAGCTGAAATTGATCCTAGTTTCAGGGCCACCTTCCGTCTAGCATTGAAATCGGTTAAATCGATATAGACTGCTCCAATAATAGCCTCGATTGCGAGAGCCAAGACTTTGGAAGATCGTGAACCTGGTTCCGCGCTCTACTTGATGCAATTATCAATACCTGCTTTTCAGCGACCGAGGCTCACTGAGTGATAGATATGATGGACGATTCAAGGCTAGTAATCCCACTTACAACCCATTAGTGAAGGCCACCAAATCTACCTTAGCCACCTACTTCGACTCGGTTCAATTTCGAATGCAACTAACCCCAATATAGATCGGAGCAAGTTGCTCCCAAGATGAGCTAATTTTCGGTTTCCATCATGGTTGTGTTCTTCCGCGCCAGCCGCCGTCAGCGCTTGCACAAGATATCCTTAGAACGGAAAGAATACCCAATAATGGTTCCGCGACAGTTGTATCCAAGCAAGTAGCCATGTTTGAACAAGGAATATGATAAGTATATCGGTTTTTATTCCCCTGTCGCCTTTAATGGACATCTGATCCGGCTGCGGTGGACATGTTAGCTCCGAAAGTGAGGTGGCTAATATGCGTGATGATGTGCTATCAAATGACTCATGTTGTACTTCTGGCTTGTAGTGCGATCGGCATCAATACGAAGTCAGCAGGCGCTAGTCGCACCCAGACCGCTTCTCTTCATGCTTTGACTCCTGCAAGCCTCGACGACCTGTATTTGTTCAGGGACATCGAGCGGCTGGCGACCGTCGTGTCATAACGGTGGGGCAGAGGACGTGTCCCGACCAGGGGTCTCTTGTTACTAACAAAACAGATGCTTTGAGGGTAACTTGGCAGTACGCTATATTGTTTCTGTTCTTGAACAAATTGGTGACAATGAGACTTTCAAGGAGCTTCATGAGATTTTAGAAGAAGGGGGAGGTTTTGTCATTGATACTTGGAACATCATCTGGAGCGAGGACGCTTGACTTTATGTCGAGGAAAGCGGAGCAGTTGCTTACAGCTGCTTCCGATTGGTTCTCTTCGTCCCCCGCCTTTGTGTTGCACCAAAACTGTGAATACCCCCATTTCAGGGTATGCCATAACAGCACCACTCTTTCTTTAGGATGTGTGCCTCGCGTCCAGGACAAGGACCGGGGTAGCTTAGTCGCTGAAGTATCGGGCCTGAGAAAAGGAAATGCTGGAAGAGAATTGACGAAACTGCCACGACCTAGCATACTGGTACAAGCGTAGCTTAAGCTCGGCAGAGGTCCGTGCAGACGGTGTGTTTTGTAACAAGTGGGCAAGTGGGTTAGGTGGTGCTGCATGAAGCCAGGAAATGCAAAACCCCGCAAAGATCATCTGCCACGGCAGTCCGCTTTGTCTACTACATTTACTTATCCACATCAATATTTTAGTGGACTTGTTCAACATACTTCTTCATATTAAAAAGCAGATTCCCTTACAACTATGCCTCTTAAAGTTGATGTGACTGCCCTGCTCTATATGGTGATTATTCTGGTTAGATGCTGCAAATCCACTGTGGCAAAGATTACGTTGACGTATTTTGTCGTTAGGGAGGACTCGTATCTTTGATCCTTGGAGCGTGTGTTGTTGCACTCCTGCCGTGTTCATTTTATTTTGGAAACTGACACCCTTTCACCGAACAGCTTATCGTGGGCTCATACAGCTGCACTGTTTCTTCCGTTACCAACATGGATTCCTGGCATCGCAACACTCATGTCCCTGATTCCAACACTCACACTGATTGCTACACGATTCCTATCCCTAACGTCGAACCACGAGACCCCTCGGAAGAATATATGGAGCACAACATGCAGTATAATCAATCAGATTCAAACAGTCATATCGACAATCATGGCCACGCTAGCACTTGCCTACCTTTTCCCCGACAGGATTCTGTCCTGTAACCTGGATCAGCAATGGCAAGGCTTCTTTCAATCTAAGAATTCACACGCTATCCGCTCCATCCAAGATGAGCTCCAATGCTGTGGTCTTAAAAGCCTTCACGATAGGGCATGGCCCTTTAAAGATCAGAGCCACGGGGACAATGCGTGTGAGTTGCAACTGGGATATCAAAAGAGTTGCTTCGCATCTTGGAGAGAACAACAGCAGAATAAATCGTGGATGATATTTGCTGCAATCATTTTTGGTTTTGCAGCTAAGGTGGGTTTACCTCCTCACCAAGACTCACGGTTTAATGGCTAATAGGGTGGCGCTTCATGCAGATGGCTCTGGCTCACCTTTCAGGCCAACGGGGAAGTTGGCTGAGCACGCAGTCATGTAGCAGGCCACCGGGTTATCGGCAAATTTCTCACCTGGAAGTACCAAGCGAAGAGAGCGATGAGAACAATGAGGAGGCGGGAAGAACGTTTTTACCGGATGCCAATATTCCTACTCAGAATCAGTGGGATGTAGCGTAGGTTCAGGAAACAGATTGGGAAAGAAAGTTACTGAAACTTCGGGTCTCAATAACATTTAACTCAATCAGTTCTACCTTAGTCTCGGTTAATTCTGCGAAAGAAGCACACAGCATTGTGGACTTCTCTCTGATAGGATGGGACAGTCTGGACAATTGAATGCCTTCAATCATAGATGGAAACGTCAATATTTCAGGAAAAATCAGCTCTTAAACAAAGCATTGGATATTCCAAAGCGCCATTCCTAATTTGAGAATCATAAAAAGATCAAGATTCCAACATAGTCACTGCCAGGCCTGCCAAAAAGCTAGCTATCACATTCAGGTATACAATCTTTGTCTTGTCTCACGAGACCTCTCATGGACTTTCGGTAGGCGGATTCCAACTGACTCAAATCAGCATCCTATAACACGCCCTTGTAGGGCTCATTTTCTGGAGTTTCTAGAGGGAATGCATAGAACAGTGTGCTAGAGACAGGGACCACGTAGTATGCTGAAGGAGGAAGCTTACTTCTTTGCTTACTTCTTCTCACTTCTCTGAACCGGTAGCACTCGCGCCAATATTGCACCCTCGATGCAGAGCCGAGTGCCATACCTTTGGCACTAGGGCTCCGGATGCGGAAAATACAGTTATTGGCATCCCAAGATCCCAAGCCCTGGCCGCACTTTCCCAATACTCAAACTCATCCCCATCCCAGCCGTATTTCTGTTTCCATTTCTTCACTGTGTGTTTCAATCCAAGACCTAGTCGCAGTAAAAACCCGGTACTTTCCTTGGCCAGTGCGAGAGTCGTAGGATCAGTTGGTAGCGTTGGCGTCGGTTCCGGTCCGAATCAACACTACTACGAGCGGACGGATCTATGGTCAGACGGTAGATTTAATCGATAGCTTCGTGATAAGAGTATTTGTAACAGGGTAAATTCAGGGATAGGACAGTACAAGGTTATAAGAGTGTTGGTTGAACCGGAAATACTACTTCTTTGTTGTGATGTTCTCTTTACTCTTACCTAATCGGGTACTTCATGCGCCCCATATTACCTCCTGGTATACCATAAGACTCGAAGCCTGATCGAATTATCTAAATAGCACTAGGAATCAAATACCACAGAAGTAGAAGTAAGTTTGTAGGCCCTCTACAGAAGAAAGTCCGATACTTGATTCTGGGAATATAGCCAGTAGCTAAGCTTAACATGGACAATTTGAGCCACCTTACTAGGATCGTATGAATAAGCTGCCGTAACTACTCCATCTTCGACAAATAATGACTCTCAGGGAGTAATTTTTTTCAGGTCATGGGATAAAAGTGTTTTTTAATAAATGCGGTCGGTGAAAAAGAATGGAGCAGAGAACTGGGACTTGGATTACTTAGGGGTCTAAACCCCTGACATGACTAATTGGACACAGCGAAAACATTAATCTATGAAAACAACTTTTTCGGCTTAGCGGTCGACTTCACTGAGTCTGCCATTGTTCCAAACAACAATGGGATGGCATACTTTGTATCAGAAGACTTCGTTTCAGTCAAATTCGACTTTGACGCTTTGACTCGATGATGTACGAGGTCACCTCCGACAAGCGGTAAAAATTCTAGATTATACCGGGTATCGAGGCTGATATAGATGTCGATCATGTATCTGAGACGTTTAAATCGTGGCCAACAGCTGAGAAACTTCCGGGTACGTATAAGTATTCTTGGGGGATATCATCCACAGATGCTGGGCTTGGATGGATTCCTCACGATGTAAGATGTTTGTCACGGTTTGGACGATGCTGATCAAAGCCAGAGTCTAGAGATGCGAAGAATTTGGATTTGAATTGGTGACATCATCTGCCCTTAGCAGGCCCCGTGGTGACAACAATCATTGTCGCCTTTGTCATCGCTCCACGGCTTCGGCGGGCGACACCCTGTGTTCTGCCCTCGACCGGACAATGAATTCTTGATCTCCTAAATTACCGTAATCAGGACTCTCCAATGGCCGAGAGCTAATTTGAATAGGAACAGCTGCCAAGCAACCTCGCATATGGTAAGTACGCGTACGACTATACGCCTCCAGAAGCCGAAGAATTGAGCTCAAGGTGATATCCAGCAATTCGATGTTCCGGGTCACCTGAATCCTCGGAATGCAGGAGCGAACAGCATCTTGTTTTCATCCTCTCGATTATTTGCATTCAGAAAGTCACTAGCAGGCAGGTTGGTCGGAAATGGATATAGCATGAGTGCACGGCGAAGACAAGTTGGCCTGAGCATTGGCCAAGTATTTCGATGACACACGACACAGAATTCCTTGGAAACACAGTATTTTGAGATGAGAAGCCAGTATCCATAACTTCGAGCGGTCAGTTCATCAAATTATCGAAAAGTCATTTTGTAATTTGCTCTTTACTAAGACCCCAGCGCTATCACTTTTGGTTGTTTCTTCGTGAGATTTAGATCTACTTCGAATTCTAGAATCGCTTTCACGGCGCACAGCCGTCTAGTAGTGTTCATTGGGAATGGGCTTACTTGGTTTTCCATATAGGTCATTCTCGTTTTATCGAGATTTTTATATGTCTCTTCTCTGTCGGCGATGCTGAGATCAGGTAGATGGAAAGATCGTTAAAAGTTTCAGAGTAGAGCATTCGTTCATATGCACTTTGGAGTATAACGATCGAAATGAAATATTTGAGAGGAACCAAATAAGAGCGCTGAAGTCAGACAGGCAAAGAAAATATCGTAACTTGACCAAAAGAAAGGAAACGCTAGAAAAAAAAGGGTGGAAAGTAACTGTTGATGAGATATTGTCACTGCCAGCTCGGCATATAGGGTTTCATGCATTACGGACATGGAGATAGAAATATCGCTCCTTCCAGAACTAAATATTCTTCCGCTTAGACTCGCCATTTCCTGCCCGATGAGTCCAGATTCTCAGAACGAGGATGACTTGCCTTAACCGATGACTTTGTCTCTTCTCGACCATCGGCATAGCGTTTCGTCACGACTTTCTTGGTTTAGATTGAGCCATCGGTGAGACACGTTTGTCTTGTCCTGAACATGGTGATAATAATGCGAGAAAATGAGGCGTCATCAGAGCGAATCGCCTCGACCGGCGTCTCAGGAACGGACCTTCGGCTTCCACCCGAGACAGAATTGAGCCAGCTCTCATTATCGTCGTCGCAATACCTATCCTCGAGTGGAGAGAGGCTACAGCGAGAATCGAATGGATCCAGGATCTCTAATCGATGTCGATTTTGGCGGGTTTCGACAGGAGAGCGCAGAATGTGATTTTTGTTGAAAATTTGGGAAAGTCTCACTCCCAGGCCTCAAGATCCTGCATGACGCGCTCCTACAATGCCAGCTCGTCATCTACTTCAGCTTTTTACTCTCCAAGAGTTTGTCCTTGTAAGTTCCAGCACCATAGATACCAAGAGCTCCCTATCCGAGCTGGTCTCGAACTGGAACCTGCTACCCATGCTACGGCGCTTGACAAGCCCCTTAAGCCAGTCCTACTCGCTCTCGGTCCTGTCAGCAATCAACCTATTGCTGTCCAATAGCGAAATTCCGTTCTCGACTCGCAGGAAATCTTCAAAGGTGTTTCGCCAAGGCGGTTCGTTGAGATCCGATCCGACTCCAGGAGGACATGAGGAAAACACACCCTTCTCCTGGCATACTCAGTCGCGTGCTTGGCGCTCCAGGTGTGGAGGGGAGTAGGGACCGAAGGTGATATACTTCAACGGCCATTGTGCATCGAAATGTTGAGAGAATGATGGTATGGAGAACTTGAAGCGTGTCCGAAAGGGCTGTGAGAAAAGAGTGAAGGAGAGCGTGTCGAGGCTAAGCGGGTCTGAGGGCTCGTTAGACGAGCGTTGGGGCGACTGCAGGTTTTTGGGGTCCGTGTCTCCAGGTGGTTGCGATCGCGACGAGTTTGACACGGGTGTGCCGCCGTTGTTGTCTGAGGGTATGTCGTTATCGTCGCGATTTCCGGATGAGCTGCTTTCGGCGCCTCTACCCGATGTATAGTTCTGGTCCCCCGCATTGTTTGCGCTGCCGCTGTCTCGATGTCTGTATTTTATGCTGTTGTTTGATTTATCCACGGTGGTAGGCTTGGCCCCTGGTGTCCGGATGCATGCTTGCAAGGGATAAAGGCATCGGGCAGGCCAACCGATTCCAAAGGGTGGAAGCGCAAGCAATTGTAGGGACATTTCTCACAGTCGCGACCAGTGGAGCGAAGGCAGAGACTCATAATTTGTCTACACAGCACCGCTATCGGCGGCGGGCCGTGAGTATGTGGATGGACTTCTAGTTCTCAATCCGCTCCGCAGGTTAACAGAGTGGATCAAGAAATTCCGGCCGTACCAGAGGTACCACCGTTCAACGCTGTACCAGGTAGCGGACGTGTTGAGAGTCATTGAGATGGAGATACTAGAAACTACCAATCCATTCACATTGGCACCATGAGAGAATGGTGAAGACATGCCGAACATACACACCGTACTTGGTAGATCAATCCAAGTTGTGGTTAGCAACTCGGGTTCATAGGTGTTTGGAGGAGGAGATCAAGAAACAGCCACTTACGGGATCATGCTGCTCACGGGCAACATACCGGTGACCCTCACGAGAAGGGCCCGTCGACGACTGTCAGGCTAGAATATCCTCTGCCAAACGTACGAGTTGATGAGACAACTGAGCAAAAGCTGAAATCATATCGATATTCTTTAGGTTCCTATCAGCAAGGACAATGGACTGCTACGTCTCACCGATAAGCAGGACAGAACCGCGATCCAGAAGACGTTGCTCCTGAAGAATCGGTCTTCAGGATGAAGTCAACAAACCTAAATATCGCTCGGTTCCAAGCAATGACTAACAATGGCTGGCCAGAGAATGTTCGGCGGCACATAAAACGAAGAGATGCAGCATTTTTATAAAACACACTCGACAACTGTGTAAACGATTTCAACATAGTACTAAGGGGCTTCCTTTTGTCATTGTGCCATCAGACATGATATACAATCTGTTTGAATTTGCTTTCGTGCTCCATTTATATAACAGTCGCCAAACGCCAGAGACCCCTCTCAATGTTTTCCTTGACTAAGACAGCATATCATGCATGAAGTAGAGTCATCCAGTGGGCGCAGAAACTGACATCTTGTACAGAGTTCAAAGAAAATCCGCGGGAATCGACAGTTAAATTGCTTAAGACCGCTGGGTGAAAGAACGGTACGGAATGGGGGCTTTTCAATCAAGTTTCGAGTGATAGCCGGTGGACTTTCGTGATAGTGCTCGGACTCTTTTGAGTGAATAGCTGGCTGTATTTGAACAAAGATTACCTTCATGTCTATCCAATATCGTTTAAGGCATTAATAGTTTTTAACAGCTCTACTTATTCACTGCAGCCCAGATTTCTATCGGCCATATAATTCACGCCTCGCAAGGTTGATTTTTGTGCTTCTCAATAAGCGTGGGTGATCATATTTCCTATCACAATTTTAGTCAGGTAAAGCTAGTAAATAGAATCATGGCGGCCCTTTCTGAGAAGAAATGTCGCAGCCTCTCACAGCTGCGCTGCATCTTCCATTCCAAATCAGTTCAGACATCCTAAACTCAAACCTCCCATCGCCGTATCCAGGTTTGTTGTCACGTAAATATCTCAGCCCTAAAAACTAGGTCTCCCTTCTTTCATGGCGTCATCTGTTTCTCGATCCTTCCCATCTTTCTTTCTCATGCTGACCAACTGAGGAGGACCACCAAACAGGGCATTCATCAACGAATTCAGAACAAAATCGTTGATCTTGGGTCGGCGCATGAATTCTCGATACTCTTCTCGTAAATCCTTTAGTCCGGTGGTAACTGCGGAGATTTTTTAGATCAGACAGCCCAGAAATGATGGAAACGACTTACAGATCTTGATCCTGGGCTCGTCCGGCTCGTTGGAAAGGTGGTATTTCAAATTATTGACGGCACCCAAAAATTTGTTACACTTTTCATCAAAACACTCTTCTTCATGCTGGGGGGCTTCGGAGGAAGATAAAAGTCGTTCAAGCGTGCTCATGTGGCGATTTTCCTCCTCAGGTGGGTGAGGACTTTTCGCGGTCATATTGCGGCTCCAGTATGAAGTTAAAGGCAGAATTATAGAGTCAGGGGTTTGTCCCTCAGGAGAGGGAGAAAAGCTTAGGAGGATCTGGTACCTTATCCCTTCAAATACAGACGGAATTTACACGTGATTGAAATGGTAACGTCCGTTCCACCGCAACCATGTCCCCTCGGACCCGCCCAAGATTGAAGTACTTTGTAAGACAAAGCCAGTGTAGTCGACCAACTGATGTCGGACTACTAAGCTCAATTAGAAAACAAAATTAACTATTTCCAGTGCATAACATTTATTTTCAGCAGCCAAAATACTTCCCAGCCATTCGTCGCCAATGATAACCAAATAGTTGACTTCATGGTTCAATAACAAAACGACTGGAGGGAAACCCTCTACAGTGAGCCAGACAAACCCAATTGCCTACTCTGCAGATTAGCGTCGCCTTCGTTCGTACCCCCATCACTAGCAAGGAAATCTAAAAGTACCTTCTCTATTCACAAGTTGATTAGTGGGTCAAAAGTCCCCTCTTCAGGTAATCTGCATCCATACATGTGTTTTGATTAGCCCCTAGCCTCAAACTTGAGAGTCTCTCGCGCCGGATGTATCTCAACCAACAGCAGGGGTATGAATTTGAAATGTGACGACAAGTCCTTGGCTGCATTAGTGGTATTTTTGGGACCAAGCGGGTATGGATTTCAATGCGGCAAAAGTACTAGGGTAAATGCCGGTGAATGGAGCTGATGCAGCAAATCTTATGGTCCACATGGTTAGACAGGTATTGTACCTCCAGGAGAGTGTACTGCGTGACTTTTACGCCACAACTATCATTTTGCTAGTGGACCTTATGGATTTGAGCCTCCCTACCCGAAGCAGCCTCCTTTTGATTGACGTACTTTGCTGTTTTATCCCAGAAAAATGAAAATCATGCGTTCTGTACGATGAACATCTCACCAGATCTCATCCCATCCTGTCCTATCGTCACCCGACCGTTCATCTCTTGATCACAGGTCAACTTCTACTTGTGATACATGAGCCATGGCCACGTGGATTCATCCGGTATTTCCACAGGGACCCACTCTCTCAACTCGCAATGCCTCTTTGACTTGCAATCCTGGACTTGCAACCCCCGCTTCAACGCTCAAGCCTAACCGTGTAACATTCTTTCAACTAAATGGCCCCTTACAAATACTACACTTTTACGGATCCTCGCTCCAACGGGCCGGTTAGATGGATGATTGATTGATTGAAGAAGGAAAACTACTCAAACAAATAGGAAAAGGGGTAGGTTGAGCTGTCGCAATGTGTACTTGAGGTACCACCAGCTGCCTGTACGAATGGAATGTGGCGCGCTGAGGGGCGCAAGCCTCAGCGCGCCCCACCCTACGGCGGTGCGTAGCGGCCATTCTCCAGTGCATAATTATTAAGCAAGATTTACTGGCAGAATTTACGACCAAGTCACGTTTCTCCACAATTAAACTATGTACTTTCGAAGTAGCCACATAATCTCTCATCAGGGCTATTCAAATTCACGTTTATAATAATCTATCTAACTCATAAGGGCTTAGTTATGAGGCAGAATTAAGGCTAGCTTAGGAGGGGGGAAGGGGGTGGAAAAGGGAAGAAATAATCCTTAACGGAGGTAGAGGAGGCCAAGTATTAAGGAGAGAGAATGATCACATGACTAAGATTCAGGGATTTTCACGTGATTTTGCCTAAAAGGTAAGGTATCAGTAGAAGGGCGGACCCAGAGGCGGTCAATCATATACATGATTTAGCACCAGTCTTGCTTAATAATTATGCACTGGAGAATGGCCGCTACGCACCGCCGTACCACCCCACATGTGCCCCGTCGGTCAGACAAATACACGCTAAAGTTCGCGGTTTTCTCAACGCCCCTGCCATTACCAGGGTAGGCAGGCTTTCGGTGGGGGACATGTCGGCGCTTATGTGTATGGGTGCCTCCAGGTAAGGAACATCTCTGTACCCAGCCTCGTGTTTTCCTGTTTTGAATGATGAGATTGTATGTAAATTGGGTCCTCAAAGAGGAGGTTTACTGTACCGCTCCTCAACAGTCTTTGAACTTTCTGAAATTTGACTTGGTTCTTTTCTCCTACTTAATCGACAGGCCTCTACCCTGGTTTGTAGAGTAAATTCTTACACAAAGCGCCTAGTATATCATTCTTGTTCCAAAACATCACCAAGACTGCACGTATGGCCAATGATTGTATTGTCTGCCAGATACGGTTATGATGCCGCCTGTCGATGAAAAACGCGTTTTAGTATCCTGCGGTCTGCTGGTCGCCCTCGGGAATGATCTCGATTGATTACTCGGCAAAGCATCGACATATTCAGCAAATATAGTGTTTCCTCAATTAACTCATTCAAGAGATATCATCTCCATCATTCGATGCCCAACCGATTGTATACCTGTGTCGGAAGTATAAACTCGGTCAGGTAAAAAACTGGCTAGGCCTGGCAACAGTAAAGGGTTCGCGCAGCAGAGAGTACGGTTAATTGGCCACCATGCTCTGCAGATCAAGCTTCTCTATTACTTGATTCGGCTGTTAAACTCACAAATTTGGGCGGGTCAGTCGCTGGCATGGAGCCTGGAAGCAGCCTCACTCGCACTAGCCTGGCTAAGGCAGCATCTGCAACATACCGGTCAGTGTGTCTGCCCTTTTTGGACCTGTCAATCATAATCAAGACAGGAGAAGAGGAGATTGGGCAATACGCCGAGCTGAGCTCAGTTGGATTACCATAGTAGCGGCTGGCTTTCACAATTTCGGAATCACTTATTCACCCCCTTTCAAAGTCAAGCAATCCATTGGGTAAAAAGTCCTTGCATGGAGCCACAGCAAGGCAGCATCCTTTTACATACTAAGATCTACGAGTCTTTAACCTGGAATTTCTAGTACCTTGGTCTGAGGCTTAAAAGATCCGACTTACCCTTGGGGCTTTTTAAGCTCTTCTCGTCCTGTCGTAAGCCGACCATAATCGGAGACTTTGTACTTTAGATTCACACATACGAGAGAGATCCCTGAATATACACAGAAACTATTACAGAACGGTTTTCCATATAACGAGTGGAGCTGTTCATATGCAAAAAAAACATGAATCTTCCTCCAGCTTGGGAAATTCTTCCTCATTTCTGCTAAGGGAGGGAAATGTTAAGTGAATAGTGGAAGTAGTTGCTATATTGGGAACGAGAATCCCCTCCATCAATTGCCGAAACGTGACCTCCTAGTCCCGACAGTAACGATTCCAAGAGACCCGCTCACTTAGCGCTTGTATTCGCACCATTCATAGCAGTCCCTGTGCCAGACAAAGAAAAAGCAAAGGGCTTTCTCGTACGTAGCGCACGTGGTCTTGTAGTGAAATAAAGGGGGTCACCTAGAGATTTTGATTCCCTATTCCTTGATGAGGTGTGTTCATAACCTGTTGTCCTCTACGGAATGAGTCCCAACAACGTGCAGCAAGGCCAACGCCTACGACTCGAATCTCAGCAGCAAGAACTTGTGAGTCACACTCTGTCCACAATTTTGATTATGATGCTGTACAGTACTAAAATTCATGCAGCCTGTGCAGACGATAGCACAGTATATTAGCGACCAGGGAATTTCATTCCGTCCGGAGGAGCTGCATGAGCCAGATCCAGAGAGGATCCGAGTCGTACTCATTCAGCTTCTTTGGAAAGATATCAGCAAAACACAACAAGATATACAAATCGTCGATGATCTCATTGACGGAGGCAGGAAATTCGAAAGATGCTTTTTAATTATTACAAAAATTTTGCTATCGGTACGCCTGCTCTCAATCTGAAAGCAAGATGTTAGCCGTATAACATAAGAACGCTAACATGGTCCAGTGGGGAGTCACAACCTTCTGCTATGACGACTGGACGAATCCAACATTCGCTTCCCTAATCGCAGTTTTATCTCGTCTTATTGCCAGAAAACAGAAAGTCGCTGAGGAGATGGTGAAAATTGAGAAGGCATTTCACACCCATGCAGAGCGGAACAAAGTGGCTCAGGAATCAATACTTGGCACGCAAAGGGTTGAGAATGAACTGAGTGGACGTCTAAAAATGTTACAAGCGTTGGAAGAGCTGGGAAATGTGGATGGTGAGACCTATCGGGGTTTCATCTCCGAGCAGAAAGAGGTATTCAAGATGGCACTCAGGCAGGTCAAAGCTACCAGACTGCGCACCGAGGAGCTCGTCTTTCAAAGTGCCCACGGAATGTCGATGCTTGAAAAAGCTCGGAACAATCTCCAGCTGTAGCAAGAAAGATGCCAGAAGAGTCTGTCATATCGCACAGGCATCACGGAGGGCTTATGGTGATTCGCAAGGAAAATTGATTACTTTCTTGTCGAGATATGGAGTGGCAACTTGCCACCTAAGGGATTTCAGCCATCGTAACACAAGTACTAGCGCCATTCCGGGGGCAGTTCAACCTGCCTCCCCTCTTCGTTTCTTTTCGAGGATCAATTAACATGCAACGATCTGCAACACTTGTGACTCATGCACAAGCTAACACCTGAAGTGGGATGATTGCGCCCCACTTCGGGGGCCCAGACTCGTCCTCGGCAGAGCATCTTTGCCAGTTCTTTGGCTCCCCAAAATTCCAGATTTACCAAGTCGACGCGCTCTCTCCCAATAATTCGATTCCGTACCTTAGACTTGCTCAACATAAGTACGGCTTGATTCGCAACGCCATCATATAAGTGGAACTCAGTAGTCCTAAAATGAGCAATCCAGGAGCTTCTTCTTCCCAGAGCAGGTGTAGATCTGCAACCAATCCAGTGTCGCTAACTGCCAAAGCTGAAGGAGAGATGCACAGTGTTGCCCTCTCGCAAAATGGAGGCAGTCAAGTGATGACTAAGCCGTCCTGATTCCGGACGCATTAGCTAAGCATTTAATAACAGTTAACTTAACTAACTTGGAGGTAGTCAGCCAGCGCGGGTTCCAGCTCAGCGTGGTCCAAAAAAAGTTCAGCGTGGCCAAAAAGTTTTCTGACTAATTGTGGGTCACGCTAAGGTGCCGGATCTCACCGTGGCCCAAAACATTTTTGGTCCCGATGAGCTTTTATGCTTACTTTTGTGTAATCTATTAATAATTATGTAGGGGTTCAACAAAAGTTGAACCCCCTACCCCACTAAAATATACTATTACTCTATACAACTCTATACAACTCTAAATAAGATAGTATACAACACTCTTAAAGACTCTTTCTATTGATTATTTTTAGTAATATAAAAAAAACAGTCTTTGTTGTAGTAAATGTCATGTTTTGGAAGAAAAATATGGTATTTTGGGGGGGATGAGTAAAAAGTGTCAACAAAGAAATGAGAGATATATCTTCAACACAAACACTACATCTTCTTCTTCCCTCACCACCGACTTTGTTTACTAAAGGTAAAACATCTGTTTATCCTACCCCCTGAAAAACCGAGAATGTCGAAGCGTTTTGCGCTCCTCCGCGAGTCACCAATCAGGTTTCAGACGTTATCGCTGAACGCGAAGGATTCAAGGGGTAATATACCGACGAGCCACTCTGCTTCCCTTAGAGGCGGGGTCTGGTAGAAAGCAAAGATCCCGAAAGTGGAACGTGAAGGCTCAAACTTCAAAGCATTTGGTTTGGGCTGCTCCTGGGATTTCTTGCTAGAGGTCTCTAGGATGATAAGAAGTAGGTAATTGGACATGTGCAATGTATGTTCCTGTATCTATTAGCCAAGGAATCAAATACTGCGGTATCGATGACAAACTTGTTCTTTTTTTTTTTTTTGCGTGGTAGCTGCAGATGTTTTCTGAAGTTTCATCAGGTTGAGAAATTTCGGAAACGATGTATCCACTGGCGAGAAATTTGAAAATAAAAGAGAACAGAGCCGTTGAAGAGTTGTTGCTGCTAAAGAATATCAGGAGATAAGCCACCTTCAAGAAGATATACAGTGCTCGGGCTTCCTGGACTTCCTGGACACTCATCTGCAAGTATAAGAGGATTCCCAGGACCTCCGAGATATTTCTTTCAGCGTAGCTTTCGTACTTTCATCGGCAATTTACCATCATGTTGTCTGGCTGGACAACCAATAGCAAAAGTCAGCCTTTTCGAAGCTACTGATATCTACGGATACTTGAAGTAGTCCAATGGAATGGCGGCCAGGGTGTTCGCAATCCTGGTATCGGTCTCTCTTCATGGAGCGGTTTTCAGCAGGAGTCGTTCCTGATGCTCGGGGGCGACCACGGAGAATTAAACACGGTCTCAATGGCGCAGTGATCTGAGCCATGCTCTGTCTCGAGTAAAGAACACTTGACCATTGAGTCTGTCAGGTTTTCCGAGGCAAGGACAAGGTCGATGGTCGACTCGCAGTCGCCACTCTGCCCTCCACCGTACGATGTCTTTGTGCCTCGTTTGAGTACACTGTTGAGAGCAAATTCATTCATGAGGTCAATGATTGGATCTGCTTCACCTTGTCTTCCCAAAGAACGCCGTCTCTTCCCCAGAAGTTTCCCATAATCAAAACCGCCACCACCGCGCCCGTGTCTCGCCGTACCTTCGTGATCGCGTTGGTAGATGAATGCATGCGTCATCCAAGTCTGAGGCGTTGCCCCCTTCAACGTAAGCTGATGCTATGAAAATCAATCTCTCGGGAAGCCTGATAACCGCGGCCGTGAGATCCGGGGATCCTATCGGTATTTGCTCCGCGTCTACTTTTTTGTTCACCCAGAACATACTTCGAATTGCCCACCTGCCTTCCCTCTAAGCCGAGGAAACCATCTTCGTCCATTTGTGGTATCCCATCGGGGTGTTTAAAAGCCGGCCTTGGATCCTCCTTGCCTGGGGTTCTTGAATCGCTAACGCCACCGCGTTCTGAGTTTCTTTGTCATTCATAATCTCTCGTGCACTGTGCCCTGCTTCCTCACATTTGGTTGAATTGTTCGGAGAGTTTCATTCATGACGTGATGGATAGAGCTTTGGACAGTTCTTGCTGTACGATTTATGAAGGCCTCCGCAAGGAATGCACTTTGGAATCGTCTGGTCACAGCTACTGTGGCAGTGGCTCTCCGCGGCGCATGTCGCACACTTTCTTGCATTGGAATGCTTTATGTCCAATCTCCTCGCAGTTGTAACATTGTGTTGGTCGGGGTCGATATTCAAAGGTGCTGGTCACGCCAGATTCTCCTCCAGCGTGAAAGAACCCCTCGGTCAAAAGCCTCCGCGCGTCAGTACTCTTAGTTACGTAAAAAAGTAAACAGCCATGGACCCATAAGCCTTTGCATTTTCCTTTCCGCTGAGCCGTCCGATCTTGGCAATGGTGGCGCCATTCTCCGCGCTGAAGACCGCCGTGTCTTCGATAGCGGGCTTCGGCTCAAATCTCACCCTTCTCGTCCAGAACCGCGGGTCCTGTTCACACTGTCGACTTTGATGGGATAAAGTTCGTCACGAAGCACCCGGGCTCCCGCACCGACTCTAGACTCCACCACTTTTCTGACCAGCTAGAGCTCGGCTTCATCCCGGCAAGAAATTCGGATCCGGTTTGTGTTTTCGGTCCTACCGTAACGGCACGACAGCGCCAGTGCATGTAGCTTTCCATCGTCCTGATTTCGGTATCAACTGCCGTGCGGCTGGAGCCTGCGGACATCCGTTCGTTTTCGTTGTCTGCCATCTTCGAGGTGTCTATCGTGCAATAAAACGTGTCGGCGAAAGTGGTCGGTGTCGTGTTCGACGATGAAAAGGTTCGTATGTTGCTCGGATAACTCATTTGGGGCGTTACGGGTGACATCTGCATAGGGTGGGGATCCCGAGGCGGGCTCTGACAGGTTGATTGCCATGCGTAGGGATTGAATTTCGCGAAGAATCTCATCATGACCGTTTTGAGAGCGTGGCTCGGAGAGGCCTTGTGGTGTCGCGGATCTGTCTGCCAGGGTCGGTAGCTCCTGTCGAACTTCTGCAAGGGTTGGGCTGAATTCTTCTATGATTTTCTGCGGTTCTTTCTTATGCAGATCGTCGCGTCATCTGATATCTTTCCTCAGCTTAGCGAGCTCTTTCAAGAGATTGGTAGCGCTCAAGTCCTCGCTCTCCATCGAGGCGTCGTCCGAAGATACCGCGTGATGTTGGAGTACTGGTTGTTGACCGGACATGTTCATGCCTAAGTGTAAAACTGCATTCTCTCGCTTCTTATGAGCATATCACTATCTGTCTCGCGGAAACGCAGATCTCTCAATGTACATTGTAGAAATGTATGTTGAGCCTGAACATGTTACTGTATTGGGAATGGGACGCTCTTTCGGAGTTCTGCGGCCAAAGGTAAAATATCTCGAAGCAAGCTGCAGAAGATATTACACATGGAGCAGAAGGTCCAGTCGTCGCTTAGGATAGGGCATTTCAAGCAAGGTGATGGCTTGGCGTGTATCGTGTTGCGGCCATCAGTCCACATGTTTCAAGCGGAATTTTCATTACTCAAATTATGAAAATACGAGGATGCGGGTAGCTTACCAATCCTGGAGTCGTGCATCATGTGATGAGAAAACGATACGTGATAGGCTCTTGATACGGAAGGGGTGATGTGTGGGTCTCAGGGGAACTTGTGGCCTGTGTCACTGTACCTGGCTGTTCAATTCGCGGATGTAAAAACGTCGTAAAACGACATGATGTCAGGACGTCGTCTCTACAACCAGCATAACGGAGCTTTCATACCAGCGACAAAGTCTCTTCTGCGGCCGGTCGACCCTTCTTGCTGCAGCCGTGCTGCTCTTCCTGAACGCTGGGGCTGAGGAATCCAAAGCTCATCGTCCCACGCGAACTACTCGCCAGTCCCCGCAACGCGTCAAGGCCTCTCCAACCTCCAATTTCCAAAAGCAGCGCCATATCGGGACATGTCCTCTGGGTCACTGTCCTTTCAGTCACCAGCTTCGCCATGGTATCTACACCGCCGCAGCAACCATTCCTTGATCACGGTTCATCATCGTTACCCCTGAAGCTTCCCATCAAGTCGCCAACATGAACTTCCCTTCCTTCACCGTTGAGGTCAAGCTGAGGTCGTTCACAGAGATATTCTACGCTCTACACGACGAAGCCCTACGCGACAATGAGGAGGACTTGGATAAGTGGATCGAGAACCAGGAGGTACGGCCCCATTCGAGCACGGAGAGCGACTGGCCCCGACCGGAATTGCTGTGAACACAACACTGACTCAGGGCGGAATGCAGTTTGCCAACAAATTCCGGAGTCTTTTTGATGTTCTTCCAATTTGCTGGCTCGAGGAGCTGGCCGATCTATTCCCGAGGACTAGACGACATGTCCTCTCTCCTATGAGGGAGACCAGAATCTTGAAGAAGACCCGCAACCGAGCCATATTGAATTTCCGAAATAACCTGCCGGTGGAGAAATTGAAGCCCGAGACGATTGAATCGATCTGGAAATGGGCCGATGACCCGGCGTCCTTCTTTAAGGAAAATGACCGCACGGCGAATCCGCTCCCCGAGGCGGGTGCCTTGCTCACGCCGCTCGATTCGGTATGCATTCTCTTAGACCATCTCGAGACACGGGTTCAGCTCGACCGGATTCGCCGGAGATTGTTGCTGTATCTTCTAGCGTGGATGGTCGAGACGAGGATCCAGGTTGGGACACACGATGATGTGGCCAGCATGCTGGTCCAGTCACACTTGATCTCCCCGGTCTCTCAGAAGTCCTTTGCGGGTAATCTCAGGGATTGGTTGGCCAGGGGCCGGCAGTATCTCCATCTGGCCAAGAGACTGGGCGAAGAGGGCGAAGCGGGCGCCGTGATCTTCCTCCCAATGTGGAAGGGGGAGTCTGTTTGGTATCACCACAGTCATGTCGGCGGCGGCAACGGAGCTGAGATCATCGCTTGGCTCAGGGCTAGTAAGGTGACGGAGGACGCCCGTCGGACACACGAGTATCGCAACGTCGACGGTGTGGTGAAAACGCTGAGCGCCAACGAGGTGGTGGAAAGGCTGAGGGCGGCCTTGGACGGGAACTTACTCGTTCGTCATGAAATGGTCTCGCCGTCGCCGCCAATGCCACCCGGGAGCCGTATTCGGAGTTCCCGTCAGCTGCCATCTCCGGTGATACCATCGTCGCCACCGACACTCGGCCAGCAGGGAGGGCAAGAGCTTTTACCACGTCAAGCGATGACTCTTAGCCAGTCGTCCCCCGATGCTGGGAGTTGCACCCTCGGAGAGCCTTCACCCTCCGTCATCGTCCCTCGGGAGGATGATTGTCGTAATTTAGGTTTTCTCACGGGACAGCCTCGATGCGGCTCCGACCCTATCTGAGAATCAGCTCGCTCACAGGGTGCGGTCGTGTTCTTGACTAGACAATGCAAAAGGCAAGGCCCTTTGTCGGGATCAGAGGTTGTTGATGTCTGGCTATTCAGTCTTTATTCAAGTCGCTCGTTGCATTTACTGATCATAAATAATGATGTCGATTTCTACTTCTTGATCTCACGTTTGCGGTTGAAGCAGCGACTGATGGGCCTGTTCGACCAAGGGGGCTTGAGGAATTTCTTGCAGCCCAATTCCGAGAAGTCTGTATTCATACGATCTCAATGCGAATGCGATGCTGTAATAACCGTAATAAGTATGATCAGAGAGGCGTTCCCAGAGATCAATAAAAATCCTCTATACTAACCTACTTATTCAAAGCTCATGCTTTGAAAGCCTGGCTCCGTTTTTTACCACTTCCCTCCTTCAGGATCAGTCGTACGAGCAACTTCCCTTGATTAGTCTTTCATCAGGTTCCAGGGAAGAGAACGAACTTGAGCAGCCAGCAAGATTTCTCACTTGAAATAATCTGTTCGCTAATATCATTATGATTCAGCCCACATACCCCCTTCTCATCAAAAACCCCCATAGAGCCCCGTGTTCGTCACTCGCAAACCAAAAATTCCAAGAGCGCACGGGCGCACGAATGCATCGTCGAAGTTTCCCCATGCCTATCATAACTTGCGATTATCCATCACTAAACCAGAAGCTCCGAGGGAAAGGATCCCATGAAGACAGCGGTCTTATGGCAGTATGCAAAGCAAAGAGATCGGCGGCCGCAACAGTACCCGATCGAGAAAAAGACGGAGCGGCTAGGTATGGCGGACGGTACCTGCCAGTCCCCAAACCCGCTCCTGTTCTTATCAAGAAATCGCTCACTACCGAAAAGCCTGGCCAGCCCGTTAGCAAAATGTGGATATATCACTTTCTTAAGCGTCTCCCATCAGACCTACAGTCAGGTCTGGTGAAGCAGCGTACGAAGGAATTGAAACGATATTAGGCCGAAGATGAAGGTCTTTTAGCCCAGTGGGATGATCTGCTCAAAGACCTGCATAAAAGTGTGCCTGCGCGGCTAGTATTCAACTTCGATGAGTGCGGCTTCCGGCCAGGAGAGGGCAAAACCAAAATGTTGTTGGTAAGAAGGATAACAAGAGATCTTGCCCTGATCTAACTGAGACTAAGCAAGGTGAAAAATATTACTGCGCTTGGCTGCCGATGGGTGGCAGAATCCGCTATCCACATTCAACAGCAGCAGAGCTTTTATGGAGTACTGGTTCGACGGTAGCGAAGATCTACCACCAAATACGATGGTCGGAATCTTACAAAATGGCTGGATATCTGACCTATTAGCCAACCAGTGGCTTGACTGGTTTACTAAGGCTACTCGCAATCAGACGAATCAGGGCGGAAAGCGTACCCTAGTAGATGAGCCGTCGGGGGGTGGGGTCTCGCTCAGGGACCGATCGGCCAGCTTCTCAACCACTTCGTCATCAAATAATGCCACCGATACCATGTCATCGATACTGGGCTCTCCAAAATCCTCTAGAAAGCGCTCCACGAAAGGAAAAAAGCATATCGTGCAATCGCTCCCCTTCGGGTGGTTCTAGCTTCATGGCCAGACGACTTTTTGTTGAAGTCGTCGTCGGACAGCGCCAACTAGATAGGGTATTGCTAGAACGAGTAGGGGCAAGATTACGAAAAAAGAGAACCCTTATTGCGCGCTCCGATATATTCGCCCTTGCGCCGCGGTCACTAGCTGCTACGGAGAAGCTATTAGCTTGCGCACGAGAGCTACACAAGCAAAAGTCGGAACCCGATGTCCGAGTCCCGTCCCCCTTACGATAGTCATCAGGCGAAGGCCGGTGGCAACACTCCCTTCCATCAGTAACAGACTTATCCTGGTGCTGTATACATGGCGTCAAACGGTACTTAAACGGTACTGAGCCCAGACACTGGGGCCATACTACAGATCGAAGAGCCTTAAATGAAAAAACATGGGGTGGATTTCCTCAAAAGCAGGCAGTGCTTGGCGGCGGATCTGTGGCAAGGGTGTGAAAGTTCGACTGCAATAGACAGACCGCTGCTGTCTGAAAGCTTGGTCTGTTGGTGTGAAAGGTTGGACGAAATTCTGATAGCCATTGTCCAAGCCCCGTCAATTGATTTGCACTTGCATCCAGCAGCTGGGAAGTCGTGACTGAGCTCCACGCCCAAGGCTTCGCAGGCTTAGGGGTACGTTTTCTCGACGGCCGGGCCTGCGCCTCGTGTGATGTGTGGCTCGGTACCATGAACCGCGGCCGAGTGGTGTAGACCGGAAAGATAACTCCATCGTCGACCAGAGGGGGGAGGAGAGCCGCACACATAGGTAATCGGCGGAGGAATGCACGAAGCTTGGAGGGTATTGATGGTAGTTGAATTTGGATGCTGAACGCTGTTGTTGAACGCTGTTGTGTTGTTGATAGCTGCTGTTGATACCGCCCATCCGTCTACTAGGAGCTCCAGAACCACTGATACAGCCACTAAAGGTAAAGATGTATCATCTGTGCATGGAAAGGCACGCGTCACTGCGGGGCGACGGCTAGTTTACCAACAGTGTTTCCTAAGCCCCGTCTGATCAACGTGGCTTTTCGTCATAAAGAGCGCGATTTGGGGAGCGGAAGTACCCAGTGCGTTGCAATGAATCGGCGTTGAAGATTTTCTCACCAGCCCTGCCGTTGACTATTGCCGAAATGTGGCCGATTCTCTGTTAACAACGGTTAGACAGAACTCGGTACGTTTTGTGCCTCTTGACAGCACGTGGGGGACGCTGGTGGCTTTAGTACACTTTGTGATTTTCAGCTAATTCCGAGTCATGGTCCTCTTAGACCACTGCTGAGTCTTCTTGATACCCTATCTGCGACTCCCAAAACTGGTTCACGACATCAGCTATCTCACAGGCTTTTCGTGTTGGGTGTTAGGGACATTAAGCTTGAGGCTGGCGCTTAGAGAAATGTACCCAGCCAGCGCGGCTTCTCGGCTATCAGGGAGTATAATAGACTAGACGCTCTCAAGAATTTCTCTTCTGAATGCTTGTAGGCAGCAGTTCACCGACAGAGATAAGAGAGCATAGATACGCATGGGATATGCGGGAAAATGTGCGGAAATAGCTTTCTAACTCCGAAACCTGTCGCTTAGCACACGCACAGGCTCATGCCTTTCAATATATCGACCAAGAACACTCGGAGTGTGGAGGTGCATATACGGACGGTCGGCCGAGATAGTGGCTGCTTGTTATTCATATCATATAGAGGCTGGTCTCAAACATCCTGCCAACAAACAAAGCTCGGAGAATGAATTCTTCCACCACCGTCGAATAAGAAGCGGAGGCAGCTACCATCATCAATTTTGTATGCTCCCAAAGAGCCAGATCGTGCCGAAAAAGGCCGTAAACCATCTCGAATCTTGCACAGAGCTTGTTCATTTTCCATTCTTGCCAACCTAGAATCGTAGAGGTGTGGCAAGTTAAGAAGATCTGTTCGAACCAGGTATTCTTCCTGAGCCCCAAATGATTTAGTACATGAGGTTTGGAACGCCCTTGCAATCCTCTTTTTGCTATGGAGATACCTGTCAGTGGCAATTTTACACTTTGGTGAACTGTTCGCCCACAATACTCCCACATCTGCTTCAGGCTTGGATTCATATCGACTGCCTCTATCATGCGATTGCTAAATGAATAGCGCTTTCCGGCAAACAGAAAATCCCCCACTGAGTTGTAGGATTGAGTATAGAGAAGGCCCTGTTCTCGGAGTGAAGGAGCGACGTCGGGTCTTCAAACTGAGAAATCCACTATCACGAAAGAAGAGAAGGTAAAAACGTCGGCGAAGAAGCACTGGGAGGTTGGTGATCTATTCGACATTTTAGAGACAACATCGGTGCCACAAGAAGGTGAGAGGCTTCGTAGAGCTCAGTGGGCCAGTAGTATGATAGGTGAATGTCTTGTCAGAGGTTATCGGGCAGATTTCTTTATTAATATCCTGATGCATGATTGCTATATGCTTCGAGTCGATAGCCGTAGACCAAATTTGACCAAACCTTTGCTACATACCAAGCCAAGTTATGCTTTTGCTGGTCAACTTGAGATTTTGGCATCGAGAAAGAGTTGAAGATGCCTGAATCGTTGGAGAGTTTTCTGCTCGATGATTTTCAAGTATCAGAAACCACATAGCTGCAAGCTTGTCCGGCGGAAGAAAGTAATTCAATTGCTGTGGTCTCGCTTGAGATTTCGTGGAGTGGCTCTCCCTCCACTTTGCACACGAGTCCAAGCGGGCGTCGCCGTAGCTGGAAGGGTAGTGTTGAAGATGGTGCTCCGAATAATATCTAGAAAGACCCGGGATGAAGATCTGGTCCATCAAAATCCTCAAGTCTTTTCCACTTGAGATGGGAACTAGGTGAACGGGGCAGGGAGAGGCCAGGAAAGAGAATATGGATCGATGCGTCCTCTATTCCGGCCACGTGTCCCAATGTATATTGTTTTATCTTGTGGAGAGGCGTAGGGACGTGACGGCTGCAGCCATTGCGATGATCGATATATTTCACCGGTAATGGATGAGTATGGAGAGATGACTGGAGCTCTGGTATCGGGCGTTGGGTAGGTTGCCACCGAATCCCTTGACCAAGGCAGCTTGGGAAAGATTCAGCTTATCTCACAGGCCTCAGCAATGCCGGCGTGTTTTCAATACCCTGACCACATGTTGGAATAGAAATAGATGGAGGAGAAAATGGTGACAGCTGTGGACCAACCTCCAGTGTAGAAGCACATCCACATGGGGATTATCTGCACTATCCTAGCCGTAGCATACATTTCAGAGCAAGCCCGTTGATGACCGTCATTGAAGCATTATGGGACCTCAGCCTCTGTAGTTCCGTCTCCTTGGCGAACCCATACGCTTGATCCACCCCGGTCCCAGCCTTCTATGGCGCACCACAATGACGGTGCACACAACCTAGGCATTTCGGAATGCCGCGTGAGCGAACGACCCGATGACACAAATTTCACCGATGAGTCTTGCTTATATACCTCAACGAGATCTGACGGCCACGCCAGATTTGCTCTTTCCAATCAATAGGGGCTGTAAGTATTTTTGCTGTTATTGAAATGCCCTAACCGTTTTACAGCGACGGGGCGAGGGGATGTGGGCTGCGGCGCAGAATTTTACTTTGTAAAGTCCGCTGGAGAGCGCTCTAGTCCCAGAACGTTGAGAGTTACCATGATTCTTTCTCCCGTCACAGCCTCTAGGAATTCATCTTGTCAGCCGCGGGAGTCCAAGGCTTCATAGGAGAGAGAGGCAGCATATTCCCATCTTCTGGTCACTCACCACACTATAATGCACAGACATTGTACTCCACCTGGTGAAGAAACAGATTCTGACCGATATAAATATAGTCGCCCGGGCCAAACATATTTATAATCTTATGTGACACTTTGGACCAGGCCAGACCGAGAGATGCTTGCTAGGGTCAATAGCAGAAAATGCCGGCCTCAATTTCCGGTGAAGATGTTGGGCCTCCACTTTTTTAGATATCACTTAAAGGCTGAGCAGGTGCTAACAGAGCACAGGCACGGCGAGGCAGAATGTACAGGATGAAGGCTGCAGAAGCACTGCCTCAACAATGATTGTGGACCTTCACTTCCTGAGGTGCACCAATCAGCATCAATATTGCGATGGCCGACTCACAGAAAGCCTCCTAGGCCTGCGCGTCTCTTTCTGCCTTCTCATGGAAATCGGAATGAGGTGTCATCTCATCCTTCTCTTCGTTCGGACAGTGCTTGGTATCTAGATACATGTTATACGGCACTTGGCAGAAAGTTCTCCACCACCTCTGTGGTACAGTGACCGCTGAGCCTACTCCAAACGGAGACTGCACCAAAATAGAGGCGATACCTGTGGCCAGGGCCACAGGTATCGCCTGTAGTCCGTATACTATCCACGGTCCGGTAACCCGCAAAATAGGTTGCGAACTATGGGGTAGTTCGCCACCATATTCGGCCCGGGGCGGGATTGCAACCTGACTTGAGGCCGCGGGGGTATTTCGGATGTTCAACGGCACCGTGCCCAAGGCCGAAGCTTGACCTCAATCATTGTGGAGGATGGAGAATGGAGATTCCCCGGAGATGGTCATCCGGTCTGCCTGGCTGCCGTGGGGAAAGACTGGCAAAGAGATCCTCAACATCAAACCTTTCTCTTTCATCTTCACTTGGATGCGAACCGTTGCCCGATTCGCTTGTCGCTCCGGATCAATTGGGTCGAAGTCGAACGAGAACACGGAGACCTAGCCTTGTTTGTTAGTTGGCTCTCTCTGAGTGTCACAATTAAGGAATGCGGTGATAATTTGGCCATCTGAGCATAGCTTCCTGGGGCCGATTGCAATCCCGGGACCAAGACTGTGGTTCCTAGGGGCTGTGTTGCCCGTCTCAGGAGGTAGCACAGTCGTTCTCAGGAGAATTATGTATCCTAGAAGCCGCCATCAGTTTTCTAGGATGCTTCCGCTTCGGCGCGATGCTCGACTGGATTGGTCGCACGAAACATGCTGCGGTGACATTCTGTCAACAGTCAAGGTGGATTTAAAGCCTCGCTCTACCCACATGGATGGTGTCTCGAACAGCATCACACAATCACCATCATCATCCCTCTCAACGCTCACCACCACACGCAAATCGTTGTCCTCTCAAAGTGACCGTCAGATGTGCTTCGTGACATGCGAGCGCACCTGAATGACAATGCGTGTTCACGGACTGCAAAGACGACCAACTTGCCATACAAGTCTTTAACGAGCCGGACGTCTTGGAAGGAGGCAAAACAACTGCTAGGCATACTGACGGAACGGCTCTTCGATACGGGTGGTCTGGACCCTGTGCTTCATGCCATTGCCCCACTGCTCTCTGCAAGCGCTGGCATAGAGGGTACGCCGACGAGCTGAGCCAGACCTGGTGCAAGGCAGCGGGCCGAGACCTGGTACGCCACACTTCAGAATGTTCGCCGGCGCCGAGGTCTTACTGTTGAGAGAAACGGTCTACTCTCCCGGCCGGAGACCTCTCCCACGTCTCAGTACGGAGATGGCTCTGATCTGGCCAGAGTCAACAGCCCAGTGAACCTGTCTGACCCGGACTCCGAATACTCAACTGCATATGAGCTCGACCGCACCATAACGCCAGGCCAGATCCGAAAGAAGGACCTGCCAATAGGAATTACCGCCAAAACCCAGCCCTTCTGCGGTCTAATAAACAAAAAAACTGCCGCGGTCACTGCAGACTTTGACTGCACCGTACGGGAAGATGCCAAAGAATGCCTTGTTTGTTACGACTTGTCGAAAGACACAGTCTGTGTGGGGTGCACATCATGTCACCTCGCTGCCAACTGCGTTGCATGAGTAAATGGGTAGAAAGATCCCATTTTGAAGCACCCGCCCCGGGCTTTGTGTGGTAAGTTCATTTATTGCTGAATGGTCAACACTCAATGAATTATATTGTTTGTCCCATTTTTCTCCTATGAATGTCCAGTATCGTTGAGGCTAGATCGTCCTGTAGAGTTTGGTACACATCACGGTCTTGACTGTTGTGGAACATATCATCGCTTCAAATCACACGGAGCGTGGCTTCTTTTAGATTTGTGTCCGTCTTTGTCTACACATGCAACAAGGTCAAGGCCCCTACTAGTTGGCCCAAATTTGAATATTACTGGTGACGAGCAGGCTGCGCTCTGATATTTGACTATGTTTGGACAATTCCATTCCCTACCGTACTTTGGCCCTACACCTCGGTAACAATAGCAGAAGCATTGCAGTACACGTAGTACTATGACTGTGCACCCATAGTAATAAGGGTAATTTCCCTTATTTATAGAAATTGCGGAAATCCTGGATTAATGGACACCGGGACTTACTGCCGCCAACAAGAATGATTCCGATGGATTACAGATTTGATGCTTTTTGACGAAATTCACACGCACTTCCCGTACAGAAGGCAAGACCGGTATCATTTCGCCAAAAGGGCATATGTTACAATCCTTGGCCAGAGTATGTTAATACGGAAATGAATGGCATCGCAAATGAGACAACAAAGCACCCCAGACGTGGTCAGAGGAGTGGATGGGCCTCTTCTCCTCACACCAGCTGCCGAGGCAGCACAAAAGATTCAGCCAAAGATTGTGGTATACAAGGAAGGGAGAATACCGTTGCGCAATCAGAAGATTGAAGCCCATGGCGAACCCTCTTTCACGGGAGATTCCGATACCAGTGCGTTCACTGGTCACAATCGACTGCCCCACCGGTACACATAAGCTTGCAACTCCCCTTGGTTTGCAACCCCCCTTGGTTTGCAACCCCCCTTGGTTTGCAACCCCCTTGGTTTGCAACCCCCCTTGGTTTGCAACCCCCCTTGGTTTGCAACCCCCCTTGGTTTGCAACCCCCCTTGGTTTGCAACCCCCCTTGGTTTGCAACCCCCCTTGGTTTGCAACCCCCCTTCGTTTGCAACCCCACCCGACACTTCGGCTAAATCCGAGCGATCAATTTGGGGGCCAAGTCCTGGCAGAGGACGTATGAGATAAGAGCCAGAACCATTGGCTAAAATTTTCATAAACCAAAACTTACAGTCATTGGACACCGTGAGACTGTTCTGCCAAATTACGGTAAAAAAAATAGAATGGAGCCGAACTGTCTCAAACTTTTAGTGTCGTCGTGCCGACTAGAGAGCTAGCCTGGTTTACACGACGGACATGAAGGGCGTAATGGTATTTCCCCAAAAGACCAATATTTATTTCTAGTGCGCAAAATGACAGAAGCAAATCCTACGTAACGGGCCATGGAGATCAAGGGTTCAACCTATAGTGTACCCTCTCTTGTTATCTACCCCGCCGGTGGTGCCTCGCGTAAACCTCGCGTCTTCTGAATATATCGTGATTACAGCACCTAGTCACGATGCTGTGCAAGCTTGGAAATTACAGCGGAAAAGATAGCTAAAAGATATATTCCACGCTCTTTCTTGTGCTCGAACATGGTGTAGCTTATATAGGAATAGTAGAAAATTTTCGGACAATTGTCAAAGTCGGTTTGGCGAACTGCATCCGCTATGTGAGTCTGAGTAAATAACAAAGCAGACAAGGATACCGATCCTATGCTCGTAGGAGGGACGACTGGTTGCCTCCCACGATAGACAAAGGATTTAAATCCAAATTGGTTTGATTCCTTACTGCGTATAATAGAGTCAAAGCTCATATATTGGTCCTTCCGAGGTTTACGCAAGCGCCCAGCGGCGCAACCATAATTCGGTGGAGGTCTCTCTTGGTGGATCAACCTCCTCCCATCCAATCAGAAAACAGACAACTTGGTTTTCTGTGCTAGTGAAGATACAATGCCCCTTGCCCAGGAATTATTGCGCCGGTGTTTGGGAATTTGGTAGGCTAGAGCTAGCTCGACTATTCCGAGCCATTGTGGTTGTCGTTCGACTTATGACCCTCTATATATTCGAAGGGCATATCACTGACCATACTTTGGGGTAGTACCACTTTTTGACAGAATGTCCCAATGGTTGCTGCCATCGACTGGTCGCCTTTCGTTGAAAGTTAGCGTCAATATTGGATCTGAGTTTCAGCCTCCAGAATGGCTACTGGAGAAATTCGATGCGATTGAGGAAAAGGAGATGAAGAAGCAGTTGCAAGATAAGATGAAGCATGCGAGACGGGCGTTGGAGCTGAAGCGAATGAGGTTGGAGGAGCTGGCAACCCTATTGAAGGGGACGGAGAAGGTGACACTGCCGAAGAAGCCAAAGGAGATTCAGGCGAAATTGATGAATTCGTTGAAGGGGGTGCGCCTAGTCGAGGTAGTGGAGCTGGAGAAGCAGTTGAATGAGATGGATCTGGTGCAGCTTGCAAAATTGTTGGAGAAGATGAAAAACGTGGGGCTGGCGACACTGTTGAAAAATATGACGTTGAAAGAGCTTGTTGAGGTGGCGAAGCAGTTGGAGGAGGTGAAACTTAAGCAGCTGGCAAAGCTGTTGAAGCAAATGAGGCAGGTGAATGCCGACCGCCAAATGCAAAGTGCTTCTAAGTTTGAGATATCCCTCTCAAATCTGCTTTCAAAGCCTGAATTTACCTGGATACTTTGCTCTCTTACTTTCCCGGGAAAGAATGAAGTGGCAGTGATTGACGTCAAGAGTCATATTGTCTGTGTTGACATGGTTTCAAGGAAAGATACCATCTCCTTCAGTCTAACGCAAGAATCGATTGAAAGTCTCTCGAAAATTTACGGCGACAATTACTTAACTGGCTGGGACAAAAGAAACTTGGAAGCAATGCGAGCCGTGTTTGAAAAGAGCTGCTCCGAGTTCATGTATTACACAGACGCTTCTGTTCTACAAGGTCTTCAGAGGAATGGTTGCAGCAAGCTACCAGCGAACAAAATGAAGGCTGCCGAAGAAAAAATACTATCGCTTCTGGAAACACCGCATGCGCAAAGCATGGCAAGAAATACGAAGGCTATCAACAACTATCAAATTGGAGAGGTGGCTTTCCCGACCTCCTCTCCATATGCAGCCCTCGATTGTTATCATCCGACAGCAACTTATGATGCAGGCATGCAGACCCTATATTGGCCACCTGCAACAAGTGGAGTTATTGATACGAATTTTTCTCCGAGCCTATCCTTCGTCCCTCAACAGGGATGGTACAGCTAGTCTCCTATGGAATATTTCCAAGCCAATGGTCATAATTTTTGCTTGACACCTTATACGAGTGATGCAAGAGACGTATATTTCCAATTCGTCACAATTGACAAAGCTCCCCAATCGTGCCAAGGTTTCTCTTTGATCTTCTTTAACAACCACTAACATCACATTCTCCGGTCGGCTTGCGGGAAGCAACTCTTTAATGAACACTATCAAGCCATTCATTCCTCGTTTTTCTGCGTTCCTTCGCAGGAAACCGTTTCTCAGTATACGACTCCAAGTACTCCTACCAGCGAAGCCTGTAGAGGTATTTGCCGATCGTTACCAAACCTTTGAAGGTGAGCTAAGGCGTGACTTCAACTGTATGGCTCGCGTGTAATCTGAAAGGCAGCCTTCGACTGTTGTCCCCAGTACGAAGCTATGCTTGTCTCTAACAAATTTACAGACATGTCGAAGGGCTAGAGAGCGTCGCGACCCTGAAAAATTGTCAATAAAAATGCGAGGTTTTGGTCATGAACGCGAAATTGAAGAGCATCTTTCCACAGCAGCCCCATCACATCGCGGGCGGTCACTTATTCGAACCTACCAGACTCTTTTGGAGCTAAATGATCAGAAGGTACTTATTCATGTCTTTTGTACCTCTTTTGGTCGTAGGAGTCCACATTTGTCCATCAACTTTCTGTATTAAATTCACTTGATTTCGTCGTGTTATTGCAACAGCTCCTCATCAGAGGTTTATCAATTATTTCAGTCATATTCCTATCTATCTAGAATCTAAAATCAGTAATAAGCTAACGATCTTGAAGTCGCAATGCCGACAATTTTATCTATGGTACCGGAGTACCGGAGAACCCCTAAGACTTCATGCATCTTGATACTACAGGTGCTAACATCCCAACAGTGCATCGGTGTACGGAGGCAGAAGTCCCCAGTACATGTCCTCAAGTAAAAGATGCACCAAGTGCTACTCAGTCTGAACCATTAAACCCATGTCACCCCGAGTGAGAAGGCGTCCAGGAAGGGTGATTTCTCACCACATTGAAAGAGCATCTTTCAGATCCGAGGTAATCCATGACAGTGGGATTTCTCTCACGTTTTGAGAAAAGAATGGTTTCCCTCGATCAATTGAGGGTATTCTGTTCCTATCCGAGACAACATACCGGGTAAGAAATTCTTGGGAAGTGTGGGAATCCAGTAACTCACAGACCCCTGCGTATGAATAGAACAGGTCTCTTTCCCCCCTTCCTAACAGTACCTTCCTAACAGTGGTCCAACCACCAGAGGAAGCACAAGTGCCTGCATCAAAACGCTTACTAGCAGCCTGAGCTCGCGCAAAGAATATAGAGTAGCGACAAGCCCCGGTGAAAAACCGTTGACGTCCAAGGTACTGAGATATTCTCCTATGCGCAAGAGAATTTCTGCCCACTCCTTTCCGGCATCTGTGAAACACTCCTGTAGAAGTAAGACTCGTGCAGACACGACAAGTAATCGTACGCGCATCCACTGGTCCACAATATCCAGCCCCGAGACATCCCCAAACCATTGAAGTTCACTTTAAGATAAAAAAGTTCGTGCTTAGAAACGTCTGTTGCCACTGGAATATGTGTGGCTTTGGCAAGGCGCACATTGATCAGGGATTTTTTCAAGCGTCTAAGAGCTCTGGACAGTTGGCGACATTCGCAAAGTGAAGAGAAATTATCTCGATTTCAAGCTCGATCTTCGAACGTGCAAGGTCTAAATGGCCGTCTACACAGAGAAGATTAGCCAATCAGCAGATGATCTGAAAGCGATTTGTGTCGATCCTATGATTATACCTTTAAAAAAACGGCCAAAGGACCGATAGAGTTTGGAGACCGTTGACAACCTTTGAACATTGCTAGATAACTCGATGAGCGACCATTCAGTCGGCTGAGTCGGCTCCAACTTCTCTAGGACAACCATCTCGTGCATGGCTCGAGCAGAGTCCCCAAGTTGTATTGTATTTTCCAAATGAGAGAGCAGTATCCAATGTTTGAGTGTGCGCATTCGCGTGGAGTCCACTTCAATGTTGAAGTAATGCTCTGGAACCACGCCATGCAAACGATGTGTTCTTTAGCACACAACAGTGTCTATAAGGAGAACACGGCCGGACTGTTGAAATTCCATGCTACTCTTTATCGAGGGGCTGCCACCCTTTGCTCCGCAGCTTCCGAAACGCTATTATGGTTGGATCGGCACCTTCAGAGCCGGCCAACAGATGAAGAGGCGGTTGATAACCTTTTTCAGATGTTGGGTTGATACATATGGATAGACTACTACAACAACGAGGGAAGTCACCAGAATTACTGTGGAACTACCCATTGCGCCTCACTGAAGAGAAGATCGGTTAAGGGGTGTAAAAAGCTTACATTGGAATGAGTTATGGCGTTGCTCCGTAACTAGTCAATTCAATTACAAAGCACGATTTCGCAGATCCAGAGCCTGGCTCCTCGAACATTTCATTCTCCACCCGCGCATTTTATCAGTGATCGCGATAGGAGTCGAGTAGTCCCAAAATGACGATATTTGGAGGTTGTGGGCATACGGCCTGAAGTTGTCTTACCAAAAACAGGTCTCACCCTTCCAAATTTAGGTCCCCTTTCTTCCTCTACAAATGGTAGTTATCTCTCTACCAAGAGGATACATCCTTATTACTCCAAAGGATAAGTGGTTGTGAATCATGTTGCGTTTGACCGAACTGTAAGGGATATCTCAGAGAAGACAGTAGCAGTTCTCTCAATGAAAGTACACACAAAAGTCTACGTAAAATTGGGTAAATATGGAGTATATCCACGGATGCGTAGTATAAAACAGTATAGCTATGCTTTTCATTTCAGTAATGACCCGCATTATTTCACTTTTTGGGTGGAGAGTTCCAAAGTTCTCTTGAGATTGAGCGGGTGCGGCAGGAAGCGGTTGCAGAGGGATTGACGTTATTTACAACATGGTGATTTGAGCACTCCCGCAGCTCCTCTAAGTGACTTTGAAGAACTTCAACCTTGCCTCCCTTTTACCGCCCTGACTGACCCAGCCCATTTGTCTGCTTATTTTCCTGGTACTCATCAGCATCCAAAGATGTCGTTCAACATCTTCAACCTCCTATCGCACGCAATGTAATGTGACAATTGCACCGTGAGGGGAGGTATGGACCACGGAAATACCCACAGAGATCGGATAAGAACAGAACTGGGCGATCAAACCCTAGCATACCGATCATTTAAGGGTAATGTTTTAGCAGCGAAATGGGGATAAAAAATCACCTAGGAACCAAGTCCATGTAGAGGCTAAGGACAATGACAGTTCGGAAAGGACGAGCTACAAATAGCTGGTATCAACAAGGAACTTTCTACTATTCATTCAACGTTCAGAAACAACAACACCATCCATATATCTGCGAGCTCCAAAGACAAGGTCGACCTGAAACCTCGTCGATATCTGCACACTTTTCCCGGCTTTCAAGGCAGTACTCCATCTTGGTGTCCTTCGGAGATACACTACCCACGAGGGTATTGTGAGAATGTTGCTCACGTACGGTCTTGGTATGTGGCGGCTCCATGTTTTTGATTCTTTCATCCCATGTTCCCGTTTCAGCCAGGCGTTCAAGAGTGTAACAAACACATAAATCGATGTACTTCTCAGCGAGTTGTGTGTTATCCCACAATACTGCACATTTAGCAGCACGGGCTAAAGGATATAGTCCTGGTTTAGGAATATTGAGTTGTTGCTCCCAATTTGCGATGGATCTCAGGCGCTGCTTGATTTCGGGAGTTAATCTGGCAGATTCGGCTCCAGTCTGTACCGCATCCATTGATAGGTAATTTTGCATATCGCAAAAGTGCTACAGATTCAGTCAAAATTTGCCATATCTGGAACGGAGCGTGGAAATTACCTTTGCCAGTTCAAAAACTTGCTCTACATTCAAAATTTGTGTGTCCAGGCACTCCATCACCGACCTTGTCAAATTTATTTCACGCTGCTGGAGGGTTTGCAAATCCTGTCCTTTTTCGAGGAACGAGCTGACCTTGAGCTTTCGGTATAGATGATGATCAACTTTGGTTATTCTCTCGGCAAGAGCTCGAGGTTCAAGTGACAGATATTCGTCCAGAAATGTGGTACTAGAATCGAAGGGCTTGTCCCACATGTTGGAAGCGTCTGAGATGTAAGCCTTGAGGCGCACTGCCAGCACCTTTTTGCGTCGGAGCAAGATATTATGGGGTACGTATTCGTGAAGCTGATCTCTCAAGGGATTGGTAATAAAGTGACGAAGATCTTCAACCAGGTCTCTCTTTCTTGTATGCTTGTTAACCACATAGTCACATGCGTCTTGAACCACGGTGCGTATGAATGGATCAGCACCAATCGTTTTGTCCTCCAGGTGCTTATGTATGTCAGTTAATATCCAAGAGCGAAGAAACAGACAGAAACACACCTCTTTCATCAAGCTTAAGTGCCCTCCGGACTTCATGCTATAGGGCCGTTTCACGTAAAAGCTGCATATTTGCGAATACAGAAGCTCATATTCCTCGAGGAAGTCTCGCAAAGTGGGCGTAACTTGACCGCGGGATAGCTCTACTAATGCTTCGAATGGAATGAGCCCAACTTTATTCAGGCTTTGGTATATCAAACTCTTGACGACCATTCCCCAGTTATCGTCCCGAATCTGATTCGGATCAAAAGTCCAGCCCTTAAAGAGCGCGCCTTCTAAGCCAGGCGCCCTCCTCAACCCCGGTCTTCGAAATAAATAATGGCTCCAATTGCCATTGAAGAGCTCCGAAAGAAGACCCTCCATCTTTTTGCTGCTTGTGGTGGGAGTGGAAGGATCAATTTCGGTTGAAATATCGCTCCGGAACGAAGCAGAATGGATATGAACTAGTTCCCATGCTATTAGCCTAGGCTGTCGATTTATATCAAAAGGCGATGAAATTTGGAAAGCCTACCTGATCTGGAACAATCCACGGAGGCGTTGAGTATGCTCGCTTCCATATTTGTATATTCGGTGTCATCAAGAGGAGAAGGGATACTTCCGTTATATACATGATTCCGGCGACTCTTGCTAGTGTTCAGCCCCCATTTCTCGTAGTCCTGGGTAGTGAATATTGATGCCCCTCAAGCATGGCGTTAAAGGCGATGGGCGTGTTCGATATTTCCATATCGAGTCGCTGGCTAGTAACCTAGCCAATAGTACGGGGCTGTGAATCTTCACTAATGCGTGTGCGGCCGAACCACAGGTTTTAGCTAAATTCGGATCATGTAGCCATGATTGGTTGGTCAAAAGCTCTAGCGTCCTGCGCTTTCATAACATCATGTGCACCTCTGAGGATGATTGATAATCAGTGGTTCGCTTCCTGCCTTATAGCGTAGACTTTGATTTACCGAAATTAGGATCGTTGTGTGACTGCTCCACAGCGTCAATCACAAATTACACGTGCGAGTGGAGGAGAGGGACTACAGAAGACAAGACAGGTATCATTTCGCGAAACTGGTGTATGTTACAATCTTTGGCCAGAGTGCGTTGATACCAGAGCGTGAACTGGCCACAATCGGCCCCACCGATACATAAGCTTTGCAACCCCCCTTGGTTTGCAACCCCCTTGGTTTGCAACCCCCCTTGGTTTGCAACCCCCCTTGGTTTGCAACCCCCCTTGGTTTGCAACCCCCCTTGGTTTGCAACCCCCTTGGTTTGCAACCCCCCTTGGTTTGCAACCCCCCTTGGTTTGCAACCCCCCTTGGTTTGCAACCCCCCTTGGCTTGCAACCCCCCTTCGCTTGTAAAACCCTCCTCCAAGCCTAATCCTGTACCCGATCTTCCAACCACGTCAAAGTATGCGAATAGTGGAAAGAGCTGCAGTTGTCCTCTTCGATCATTGTAGCCCGCTGGTCTAGATTGTGGACCAAGCGCTGCCAGCCGCTTATTCGCCAATGCATGGTAGTCACTTGCACGCCCGGAGCCTCTTATTCCTTGCCGCAGATGTGCCTGCCTTCAGTCAAGACAACACTGTATCCACAATTTGGATAGACATCTCCTCCAACTAACGGCACCACAACGGTGTATACTAGCTTTACCACTTCGTACTTTTCTAAATGAGAAAACGTACCTTTTTGGATGTAAAATACGCCAAGTACAAGATTGATCACAATTTTCTCTCCCTGAAGCTATCCCGGATAGCTTGGAAAATCCAAGCTCCGCGTAGCAGCCCTTCCCAAGGGCTCCTCGCATCCCTAATGAGCCCCCTCGATGGAGAGACGCTGAAAGGGATTCATTTGCAACACAAGCATTGTGCACCCCAACCGGCCGCTTTGAAGGATTTGAACGCTATTCTGAATTTTTGTTGGGGTCACAGAAATAAGAAGAAAACCCAGATATCGAGGATGGCCAACCAATAGTAAGAGGAAGGCGGGCATCAGCGACTTTTAGATAACAACTTGAAGATGATAACTCATATTTCCTGCCATAATGAAATAACCTGTAGGCCCGATGAGCCTTTCTCGTACGTGAGATACTGCATTTCTCTTTTGTCTATAGGGCGGGGTAGGCGATCCTAACCATTCCCATCTCGGAAGCCACTTTTGTGGCCATCTTACATGCTACATGCATAATTGTTCCAATTTCTCAGTTTCCCTTGATGCCGTTTATCACCAACGATCAAGCCCTGACCTACGTCCACCAGTCAAGAGCAGTCTAATTCAACGGAATTCGGCCGAGCTGACGTATCTTCTACGGCGTACACCGCCGTAATCTTCGTATTAATACTTTTGTCGACTGCAGAAGCTACATTTGCATCACATTAGATCCATACATAAGACCGAATATTTCTCGACAGCATTTTTTTGTCAATCTCTCACACATACAGGGAGTCACTCTTATTCCAATCACTTCATATTTTCGAGAACACGCCCATATATTTCGTGGATCCGGTTACGCATTATGGAACAGCGCATAGCTCGGGAGCTCCTTGAGTCTCTACAGACTCTACACACATTCTCCCCTATTCTACTTTTCACCCTTTTCATTGGAGCGCATACAGCTACTATCATCACAAGAACAAACAGACCCAAAAATGGGCAAAGCTTCTCACCTACCCAAAAACGACTTTTCAACTGGCTGTCCGCCGTGTTACTTGTAACATACTTTGAAGACGCGGCAGTTTCTGTTGCCCATGTGGTAATTGCTCAATCGGAGCAATGGTGGTGCGGGCAATCTGTCGTGGTACGTATGCATGGGCCTAGATACATTTTGCGGTCATCAAAGCTAACATTACAGGTCTATATCACTGGTTCTAGCTTTTTCTATATGATTCTTCTCGTGTCCATGTTCGATACTACTTCATCTCCAACAGCTGTTCATTTGACGTGTTGGTCTGCCGCCATTCCTATCGAAATGCTTATTTTAAGCATATCCTTGGTGTTTTACTGCTCAGTCCACCCAGAAAAAGTAGTTGGAGATCCCTTCGGGGGCCCAATTCGCCAGAGTATAACATTGTGGGAGATTGAGGAAGTTGCCACACGCAGTGCCCGAATCTTGACTCTCATTGCTCTGGTCCTACTCTACGCCAGGAAGTCAAGAATTCTTGAAACCGATGTTGAGAGCTCGAACGAAGCAACAGAGACCACTAGGCTATTAAATTCTTCTCGCGTGGGCAATCATTACCAGTATGACAACCCAAAGAATCGCGACCCGTTACGTGCAACTTCTCAAGCACATGGTCTCACCCTCCAGCAGACAACCACTGGGAGCTGGTGGGAGTATATCAGTGACTACTCAATTTTTCTCCCTTTCATGTGGCCATCTAAGTCATATCGCCTGAAGCTTGTCACAGTTGCCTGTTTCTTCTTGCTTGTGATTCAGCGAATAAATAATGTGATGGCCCCGAATCAAGTTGGGGTGGTCATAACAGCCCTAGCTAATCAACAAGGGCATTCTCCTTGGCCACAGATTATACTTTTTGTTGTCTATAGATGGCTGCAGACAAGCCTAAGCTCTCTACGCTCAGCACTCTGGGTCCCAGTAAGCCAATATTGTCGCATGGAGCTTTCGATGGCCGCTTTTGAGCATGTTCACTCCCTCGATTTGGACTTCCATTTGAACAAAAAGACGGGCGAAGTTTTATCGGCCTTCAACAAAGGCAAACCGGTCGTTGGACTCCTAGAACAGGTGGTTTTTGAGCTTATTCCTACCTTATTTGACTTGCTCATTGCCATTGGGTACTTCCTGATTTTTTTTGATGCATACTACGCGCTAGTGGTTGGAATATCATCATTCAGCTATATTTATGTCACTTTTCGGGTTGGCCCATTGAGAGCACAAACCAGGAGAGAAATGATGAAGGCGTCTCGTTATGAAGAGGCTATTAAGTGAGCGAAATACCCACATACTCAGTGGACAATCAACTAACTGCCCCAGGAATGAATCAATAGTTTCATACCTAACAGTGAAGCTTTTCAATCAGGAAACATACGAGTTAGGTCGATATCGCACCGCTATCGGTGATCATCAGAGTACTGAACGCCGTTCATTCCTCTGCATGACAATTTTCAACACTGTCCAGAACACAATCTTGATGACCGGCTTGCTCTGCACGTGCTTAATTGCTGCATTTCAGATCTCCACTGTCCAGCGGCCCGTGGGTCTGTTTGTGACATTGTTGACGTATATGGCACAGCTCCAGGGTCCGTTAGCATCCTTTGGTTCCTTCTATGGCTCGATTCAATCGGCTTTGATTGCTGCCGAACACATGTTGGGACTTTTCCGAGAACAGTCAAAGGAGGTGGACAGTCCTCTTGCTATTCCATTGACTACCTGCAATGGCGAGATCCAATTTCAGGATGTCGGGTTTTGCTATGATGAGAGGAAAGTCGTCTTGGATGGACTTACATTCACTTGCAAGCCGGGGACTACAACAGCCATAGTCGGAGAGTCTGGAGTGGGTAAATCGACGATCTTCCAGATCTTGTATCGGTTCTACAACCCTGTGTCTGGCTGTGTTTATATCGACGGACATCCTATTCGTGATCTTACGGGCGATTCAATTCGCAGGAATATCAGTGTGGTGCCGCAAGAGTCGAGACTCTTCAATGAATCCCTGATGTACAATTTAAAGTATGCGAACCAGAGTGCCACAGACGAGGAGATATACCAGGCCTGTCGCGACGCGGGTATCCACGATAAGATAATGGCATTTCCGGATGGCTACGATTCCAAAGTCGGAGACCAGGGTCTACGACTCAGCGGTGGTGAGAAGCAACGCGTGGCAATTGCTTGCGCCATTCTCAAAAACACCCCTATTATCCTACTGGATGAAGCAACGTCCGCGCTCGACACTAATTCCGAAGCCTATATTCAGAGATCTCTCAAGGCCCTCTCCCACGATCGCACCATACTAGTGATCGCCCATCGGCTTAGCACAATAACAGCGGCAGACTGCATCTTAGTAATGCATGAAGGCCATGTGGTCGAAAGAGGGACACATGCTGAACTTTTGGAATTAGGTGGCCGGTATAGACGCATGTGGCAAAACCAAAGCGAGGAATCAGCTTAGCTCGACAATTACGAAAGTGATAGCTAGTGTCTTACAAATCTCTTTTGTATATAGGATTATTCATTTCACTTTACACCGCTGAACGTCTTGGCGAACCTCACAGTTGGGAACAGGTGGACCAGTGTTATTTTTCAGTCTGCGAAAAGCGCATCGTCAGAACTACTTTCATAGCGTATTGAGGTTGGACATTTATGATCTAAACGTGGGGAATAACTAGATGGAAGCTTCACTTGATAAACTTAGTACCTTCTAACTGGTAAACGCCCCGGAATACAAGGACGTGGTCTACGGGCAGGTGGATCGGACGAGCCCTATGGTAAGGCCTCTTCACCAGAGAATATTACACTTGTCCTAATGTTTCACAAGTTTAAGCTCATGTTTGAGGATGGATTAGCGCGTGAGGATCCATTCCCAGCTGGCCGCGGCGCGGGGGCGGCAACTAGCCAATCGTTCCGCGTACGAAGGGAGTTTTATCAGCCCCACAAGGGTACTTTTGGGTATTTACACGAGGACCCACTCTCGCAACCCATCCGTCTCCTTCACCTTCCAGCCTCCCGTTCCTGTCCACCCTGACTATCCTGACATGATGAATAATTCAAACGAAGAGCCCCACGCTGTTCATTTTGTCCATTCTGTCCTGCCTTAAGTCTGGAGTTTTTCACCCCCTGTCCTAGGCAAGTATAAAGGTTTTCATAGTGAGACCCTGTCGCGTGATTCAAACTCTCTCTCAGACCATTCCACAAACTAACGCGGCCAAGTTGGACGGTTCAGATACATCTTGCCCCACCAATTGAATCGTAATCATTTCGATCGAGGACGCGTCCCCAAGGACACTACATTCCATTATCAGGCTCTCGCACATCTAGTATGCTGTCGCACCGCCTAGCAATGGGTTGAAGTTTTCTTCAACTTCTGGTATGGTCTCCCTGATCTTGAAGGACTAGGCGAAAATTTGCACAAGCTCCCTGTAGCCCCCATCAGCTTCTATACTACCGTGGTAGATAGTCCTGTTCGCGAGGAGTTGGATGTCATGCGCTGCAACCAGGCTCGTAGCACTTATAAGGCCGATCGTGTTTATCCAAGTGTTTGCTCAACATGACGACTTAGTGTGATGCAGAGGCAGCGACAATCAGGTGAAAATTGAACTGTACTGTATTACTTCCATTCACAAGGAGGGCGGAAAGTAGGCGGCGCAGCCTGACAGTCGTCGTGGTGGCAATAGATTTGGCCTGCCGCGTTCTTGAGAGGATCGCGCTGGTCTCATCTGCATCGAGAACTTATCTTTCTGATAGGCTCTGTTTCAATTTACTGGATGTGACTTAGAGGTTCATCTACCCATCTCAAGTCCAGCGCCTTGGCGGATGGCTTACCTGATTGGCGTAGCTTGGTTTAGCCACGCTGTTCACGTTGTTGAACAAATCAAACAAATAGGGGGCACGTCGGTAATTTACCAGTCATTTCAATACCAAGTATCCAAGCCGCGTCCTCAGCAGCCGCCTTCACTCTGTTGGTTTTGAGGCTCACTACTGCGACTGGGTTACCACGATAGTTTTCATTACTACAAAGCTTGCAGGCCAAACTGCTGGGACCTACAGACTAGCTTTCCATATTATATTGAAGATTATGAGTACTTGTGTGAAAATTATCATATCAGGACATCGGAACCTCGGATTTTGGCCGTGCTAGACTGTCATTCAAAAATTTCAACCATTTTTTCCAAACCTGCTTCCAACGATCATCCAAGGTATACCGTATGAAGACAGAAAACGATAAAATAAATCCAGTCCTTCGCCTCATTCTAGAGAATGCTGAGAAGAAATTCGCCTGCCCTCAGTATTTGTGTTCATTCGCGGACATGCCATCTGTGAGACAACATTTGGGGGAAAAAATGAAGTGGAATGAAGGGCACAAGTACTTAATACAAACGGAAAACATCAAGTTCAATCTTGAGCATATTATTATGTAGAAATCACAGGATTCGATGTCCAAATTTTGATGTCTTCTAGCAATTGCCGAAGCACCTGGGATTGTGTTCGTATGCCCACAATATGTGGCTAGCTTGCCTTAGCTCTTTACAAAGAGTGTCAAATGTAGGACCTAGTCATTCGATCTAATTTCAATACGGCTGATATTACCATAGGGTGGATCTAGCCTACTTTTCAATTTTCAATCATAGCTTGGATAGGTTGATTCTTTTCCGTGATGTGTTAAGCGACTATCTTTCGTTACCGTGGATTTTCCTCATCCACTCCAATTCTCTCAAGCCAAAGATTATGGCCAAACTGAACGTAAAGTTGAGCCAGATATGCAAAATGAGTGATCCATTTTCTGCACTCACAGCTGCGGGTCCCCATCGGCTTCTTGGAATATTCTGTATGAGTGCCAAGAAAAGACACATATTTCTCTGGCTGACAATGAGCGATCGCTCTTATCTAGCTTCGGCAGTCTTCAATACAGGGAAGACTAACTACCCTTAGTAAAACATGCGACTGAGCTTCTGTTGACCTCGGTTTTCCTGAGCACACTAGCTTTGATTGGTAAATTCCGGTTTTAGGTAATATGTACAGCGGGATTCACCAAGCAGTTATCGACGATTGAATAGAGAATTCTAACATGTTTTATTTGCTTGCATATGCTATCACTTCTCCTATTCCTACTCCCCAACAATCGGCCCTTGCCTGCCAATTCTACGACCTGATTCGCCACATAACAACTTGGAGGATACGAGTTACTGTAGTGATAGACACGGAGAATAGGTTGATTACTTCCCGAAGTTCATCTTAGCTTCAATGCATTTACTATGAAAGACAGTTCAAGATGAATTATGCCAACTGGTAATTGATAATCGATTTCTACTTTGCATAATCAATGAATTAGTGTCTTGAGATCGGCCCAAACTTAGTGAAGATTGCGAAGATGAGGCTCAATCCATGGGATTCCAGGATGTAGGTTGTAGTGTTGAAGATACGTGAGATGATTCTCGGTCGGGTCGTTCAAAGGAATCACGTTAGAAAGGATCTCCGGCACAGAAATTTCAAAGACATTTATAGTGCCTGAGCTCGACTTTGCCGTTGCGACATAATATTCGTAAAGCCCGTCTATCATAGCTGTGAGAGAATGATAGTTTCGGGTTTCAAATAGGATCTATAATATGAGCTGGTTAAAAAGGGCCGTGTTTGTTTGAGTAACAGAAAGGATTTGAAGGCTTGCCTTGGCACAATTTTCCAAGACCGTAACAACATTTGGCAACGCAACGCAACATTCCCATACAAATTGGCTTAACGTATACCAATCAGCCACAATACCTCTCCAGTCGCCATTAGCGATACTTTCCTGAGATATTCTTTTAACGGTCTTATCTTCCGTTACCTCCACCAACTCTATTGTGGCCTCTTGGTAGAGTTGGTGTACTTTGTCTGTCAAAATACTAGCCAAATCCTTGGCTGAAATTGAGTTGTGGTAGTCCTCCAAATATGGTAGTTTAGTGTCAAATTCCAGATTCCAGTCCATTGTGTAAGTACAAATGTACTGGCGGCGGAAGCGCACGGCCAAAATCTCGAGTGCCTCGAGTACTTGAGCCAATCTCGTTCGACGATGGAATAGGCTTTGAATAGGCCTTGAAACGAATCCAAACGCAGGGGAGACCGCAGGTAGCGGTACATCATGAGCCTGGCCCGGATTCACATCAAAAAGGCTCTGCACCAAAGATCGATGGGCAAGGGGACTTTTAGTTCGTAAGATCTTAAAGTTTCCGGTCAGAGAGGGTTTGGAGAGCCGAAATATGATTGTGACATACCTTCTCAACTTCTTTGTAAATCGGAACTTCTTCGGGATGTCTCCGAAAGTGCCTCACGAGAGATATGTATAGTATCGTATGTTGATTTAGGAACCATTCAACGGCGTCGGTTTTGTATCCAAGAGATGCACGCACAATCTCCTCAAATGGTATTTTTCCAAACTGGATGTGGCTTTCTGTCTCTATTGAATCGGCGATTGCTTGTGCATCTTGTCGACAACCTGCTGCAGGATCCCAGGACCATATTTCGCGCGGAGAAGGCGAAAGGCCGGATCGCAACAAAATTTGTTCGACCTTTTGTGCATGAGAAAGGTCCTCAGGTGGCTGATGACCATCAGACTCCGATAATGTCGCAAGGAAATTATCAATAAAAGCGGTGCTACGCTGCAATAAAAATGTGCGCGGCACGCTATCATGAGGATAAAGTCGATAACGGACCACCTTACGGATTTCCTCGAAGTCAAACGATCTCAGAACGACCATTCCCTCGTCAACCCACCAGGAGTCTGACCCATTGAACTTTGGGAACTCAGCTGTAGGATCAAATATAGGCCGATAGGAAGCGGGATGATAAATTTCAAGAGGCATAACCAGGGTCAGTAGCTTGTATCTGGCTATTAGTGAGGTTGCGGTGCGTGGGGTTGGGTTCAAGAGATTAGGAAAAGGAGAATAAGGAAACCACTTGGCAGTAAAGGAGATTTTGCGAAATCTGGAGATCGTTGGACAGCTATTACCAAGAAGTGGTTGGCTCAGAGTAGGCGGCAAGACTGTGAAGGATGGCTTCTGCCCAGTGCAATGGGGAATAGAATGACTCACCGTGGCAAGTGAATAGGTGGAAGAGTGCTGGTGGCAATTTGTGAGCTGAAGGGAAGAGCACCGCTGGCACTTAAATATTTCTAAAGATCCGCCGTGTATTGCACTGTTTCTGCATAATATAATCGAGTGCATAATATGATCAAGTGAGTTGCTTGATCAAGAAGTTTGTTCAGCATCCGATCAAACGTGAATTCAGACCGCAGAGGGGCGTGAGGTGCTGATCGCAGATCAGGGTGGGAGATAACATAGAACAAAATCATCGCCAAGGTAAAAATACTTCGGTAAATGCACAAGGGAACAAGCAAAGAGGAGCGTGCGTCTCCTGCTGTTTGGGGCGTGACAAGCCGTATTAGCGCCCCCCACACTTTACTACTCATAAGCGGAAGATTAGATTTTGCGAAATCTATTCTACTGAAACGTAATGTAATCCTAGCTGGTTTGTTAACATCCGCAACTGGGTGGTGGGGTTTTGTTGCTGTTCACAAGGTCGGTCAGTGGGAGTGTGGAACGCCTTCGGAGACAAGGCGAACATATGGCATTCTTATTCCAATTGATTTTCGTACGCAGAGGAGGTAAACAACTGCGGCTCCTTACAGGATTAGCCGGAGTGTCGCGGGGGGTTGCAAACCAAGGGGGTTGCAAACCAAGGGGGGTTGCAAACCAAGGGGGGTTGCAAACCAAGGGGGGTTGCAAACCAAGGGGGGTTGCAAACCAAGGGGGGTTGCAAACCAAGGGGGGTTGCAAACCAAGGGGGGTTGCAAACCAAGGGGGGTTGCAAACCAAGGGGGGTTGCGAGTGTGGACAACTCGGCTTTTTCGAAAGCGCCCTCCCTGATGGAGGAAGGTCAAAAAAGGAAGGTCAAATTCGTCATCATCTGGCAGAGGATCCTTATAGGAAGGAGGTTCAGCCCTCTACTTACAACGCATGAGGACCCGGGTATGGGGCTAAAAACGCACATTGCAGTATGCCACGCTAATAGCAGAAAACACGACGTTTAGCGTACGGTCTCATCCTCTCTCATCCCATCCCCCCTGCCCTGTCTATCAGTATCAGCCTTACCCGCACGGGCTCTTCTTGTTGAGTTCGGCGAAGGGTCATGGAAGAGGTTGTTTAAGGGGAGTAAGAATTATCTATTTTAAGGATAAACTGTCAAGTAATACAACAGAAACTTACCGCTCAGAATGACTGGGGCTCTACCAAGCGACCTGCTTTCCTTTTATGTTTCGCATGGTAATCTTGTCCAATGGCATTACGTCTATAACTGTATCCTGTATCTCAGCTCCACTATTATTTTAACCTACCCTATGACATTTGTTCTTTCCATCAATTGAATCTAGACGAGTCATAATGCGAGTTGACAGTGCATTAGTCGACACTATTTCTGAGCAAACCTAGACACACGGACATGGTTCTTTTTGACCGTCTTTGTCCCTAAAATTGCGTGCATCCAATGATGTATATATTACGGGCTAAATGGCCTTTATCCTTGATACCATATCATGAGCGTTCTAATCACCTCTTTATTCTCCTCTAAGAACGCAATTTTGCTATTCGTGTCGAGTAATCCTTATCGATTTGGCCAGAATCCGTCTTAATTTCTGGCCCCTTGGGAGCTCTTTTGAGAATTAGCTCACACCGGTATCTCATCTAGCCTTTTGAAATAGCAACCTGGCCAAAGCAGCAGCAACATCCCATGGGCTCGAGTAATTACCCGAGTGAGATGTCTCGTCTTCCGGACCCTTCGTATGCTCCATTTCGAGCCTCCTATAACAGCTCGGTGTATGATATCCGTCAACAGAGCAAAGCTCCCCGCGCGCAACAGGTAGGTAATAAGTTGGAGTCGATCAAGAGCCATACCTAACCCACACTTGACTGTACTAGGCCTGCGATCAATGTCGAATCCGGAAAGCAAAATGCGACGAGGGTCGTCCCGCTTGCAGTCACTGCAAGGAATACACTCTAATCTGTGTCTACAAAGAAGTTCCACTCTATAGGTCTGTTCTGGGTTTTCCACCGTTTGATAGATTATGCTAACATACAAGCAGGCAAGCACAAGCCGTAAAACAGCTCCGTGATCGAATACAGCAACAAGAAGATACCCTGGTTTATAAATTTTCCCAGATACAATCTGTAGTGACCGACAACAGCCTCCAGCTGAGCCAGCTAAGCCAGCTGATCCAACGCTTGCTTAAGGAAGATCCCTCCGGAACAATCGAGGACATGGACGTGGTTAGGAATAACCAAATGGTTCCGCAGCAGTGTGCCGACGACATCATGAACGGCAACCATATTTCCGTGACGAAAGAAGCTGGCGAGCTATCTATGCCTGCGGAACATACTACTGCCGCTCACAAGCTACTGCAATGGCCCTGTATTCGACGGCTCCTCAAGCCTAATGCGTATAAAGCAGATTACGTGATGAGACTAGAAGAAGAGCGCGGTCTCATCAGCGTCTACGGACGTGGTGAAGGTTATGAAACTAGTGGAGATCCGGTTACATCGACCTCATTAATCAACCCGAGTGGTGCCGCGGGGGAATTTGGCGAGCACATTCCCTCACCCAGCGGGCCATGGGGTGGAGCTAACCAGCCGCAGTCGAAGCTCGTGGACATCGGACTGGACGATACCGGTCGGGTAACAACCACACCGGCTACGATACGTCGCTACTGTAGGAGTTATATGGAGCATTTGCATAAACTACATCCATTTCTCGATCCAAAGAACCTCGAACAAAAGATCGAGCTTTTCATTACAACATACTGCCCCGATACTGGGGGTAAGACGCCAGGGGATGCAAAACGGAAACGGTCGTGCGACGCTCACCGAGTTGCAGGACGTGATATGAAATTTTCGGCCACCGTCATGCCCGAATCTGGATCCACCAATTCGATCGAATTGTCGATCAACAACGCCATCGTCTTGCTGGTCCTTGCGTTAGGCAGTATCTGCGAAGTTAGGGACCGACCTGTCCCTGGCCCTATCATGGATTATGTCGTGGACTTTCGAAAGGAACAGTTCCCACGGACCCAGGCGCCATCATTGCCCAGTAAGCTTTCTCTGTCTTCGCGAATCGATAACTTCCATTCGAAGCCTCCGTCTTCCAACCACCTTCCCAGCGGGAGAGGAGGTGGGGAAGAGCGGCCGCGCTTGGATGGGAGGGGTCCTAACAAGTAACATAGGACGTCACAATCTTAGCGACCAAAATCTACGGAACCTCGATGTTATTCCCGGATTAGCGTTTTATGCCTATGCTACCAGCATTCTTGGCAACTTCCAGGGTGCAAATGGTCTACCCCATGCCCAGGCGGCATTACTCGCGGGGCTCTATGCCGGCCAACTGGCTCATCCTTTCCAGAGTCATGGCTGGATTGCCCAGGCTGCCCGGGCCTGTCAAGTATTGGTTCGATCGTAGGGCTAACGCAGCAACCCGACTGTTGAGATGAGGGCTGACTTATGTAGAAAAACGTACGAGAAGATGTGTGATGGTCCTGTGAAGGACCTGTATGATTTTGCTTACTGGACTTGTCTCCAGTTAGAAAGGCAAGGTCACACCGAGTTGATCTAATCGCAAGCGAAGGCTAATCTTCCGTCAAGTGATATCCTAGCCGAATTGGATCTCCCCGCTAGCGGTATCTCGCGGTATGAAGCATGCATTGCTCTTCCGAAGGGTCGATTCACCCTCAGTCTCACGGACGATATCTATGCACCCAATACAGTGATGATGTTTTTCCACTCGGCGCAAATTCACCTACGGAAAATTCTCAACCGCGTTCATGCCGATCTGTACAAAGTTGAAGGTAAGCTTTCTCGGGAAAAATGGGGTTAGAACACAAATTAATATCACTGACAGAACAAGGTCAAACCCGCTGGTCTTCTAATGTGTTGAAAATCTTAAGCGAGAACCTTGAGCTATGGCGTGCTAGCCTCCCCATATCAATGGAATGGAAAGATAGTGACCCCCCATCGGAAGATATCAATGTCGCTCGCATGCGCGCTAAGTATTACGGGGCTCGCTATATAATTCATCGACCACTTCTCTACCTCGCACTCCACTGTGCAGGGCAATCAAATCCATATGCGTCCTCAGTCGACTCACCGACAACGCCGGTAGCTGATACCGTGTTTGGGTCCAACTCGCAGCCGATATCCTCGTCTATAATCCAAAATCAAAAGACCGCCATGAATATGGACCGGACCTACCGCCCTGCACAGCCCCTCAACCTCAGTGGTGGTCATGGCCAACGTACGTACGACGAGCCACCGATGAGGCTTCGTCATGCATGCAAACTATGCATTGACTCGGCGATTCTGAGCACGGAGGCATTTGATGGCATCAAAGGCCGGCCGGTCGTCACCAATATCTTTGGAACTGCTCATGCGTAAATTAATCCCGTGTCTTGCCGGTCTACGCACGCTAATTGTATAGCAGGCAATTTGGTAACATGCTGGTCTTATCGGCCACGTACAAGTCCCACTTATCCGAGCTGGTGAACCGAAATGATCTCGAGCGGCTTCTCCGGCGGACGATAAAGTTCCTGCTACAAAGTCGCTATATATCTCCCACTCTGCGAACCGACGCGCGAATCCTAACCGAGATTTATGAAGGAATTTTTGGGGGGCCTTCTGGTATTCTTGCTCATCAAAATGAGTAAGGACGTAATGGATGAATCGCTACGCTACTTATCAGTAAGTTCAACATGACCCTTTACCGCTTCGCTAGCATCTGATCGTCTAAAATTACTTGGAAGGCTCTTCATTTACCACTTCCCTCTTCGCAGGGGCGTCTTTGGTAAGCGCCAGTGAGGCGTGATCTCAACCAATTCCTGGACCAGAAGTTTGGGGGATCTCAAGTTTCTTATTCCTAAAATTGATGAACGCATCTGATTAGCCTATATTTTGCGGGACAGTGCCAAGAAACCAGGGTTATCTTTAGCTCACGCCAAAATTCCAAAGGGAAACCAATGTTTGAACACCATGCTTGATCACACAGAATGATAGCGAGGCTGTAGCCAGATTTCGTTTACTATCCATTGGGATAGTATGTTTGAGTGGACATGACGGATCGTCTAAGTCCAAAAGGATACTCCTTACCTTGGCCAGATATGGTTAGATAGTGTATTTTTTTGGTTAGCACTCTCTCCGCTTCAATCCATCTCTCTAGAGCCCGTGAACACTCCCCACTCCCCGGTTCACCATACATCTACCAGTCTCCAAGGGTGCGCTACGTCATATTCTGTGTTTCAGCGAACGGACACCGGGAATGAGTCCAATATTTGGGTTGGTCCCAGACTAAGTAATGAGCGTATCCTGGAATAAAGTGAGAAGAATCAACGAGCATTCATGCGGAAAGTGAGTCTCTGTATGAAAACTGTAGATTACCAGCACTGATGAAGCATTCAATTAGCTCTGAGCACGACGTCACGGACATTGTACGCCATGGCCATGTACGTTTTGCAGTTGCATCATACTTCCATCCACTTCTTGAAGAGCATTTGCCCCGGATTCTGAGATTGGTTCACCTGCGTAGGTTACCCTTTCGTTTATGTAAGTTACCATTTGGCTTCATTACCCGTGAAAGGGCAGAACAAGACATTGTATTGTACTGTAGAGTGACCCTACCCCGGCGACATGCAATGCCCCGTGTGATGAACCATATTCCCCCTTTGAGCATCCATTGTAACCCCTGGAAAGAAAGAGAGTGCATGAGAAATAATGAGAAACCCTTGATGGTCGAGACAATCACATCTTTCATACGTACAGAATTACCTCATTTAGTCGTGGATGTACTACGTAGCTCACTAGAGGAAAGGAGGCTCAAGTTCAATCCGAGAGCAAATTTAACGGAGTAATAGTTCGAATTCCAAATTAAGCAAGAGACTAGGTAGTCAGGATTGACCTCTGCGCATTGTTCGGTTGCCGTGAATTCCTACTCATACATCAGGGCGACTTACGTCGCCTCTAGGACCATGCTGTTTGTTCATTGGGGCAACTAGCCTGGTCACCGGTTCCATACGGTCAGGGAACATAGGAGCTGGCCATAGAAGTATCTTGCAACTGAAGAAGTATCTTGCAACTGAAGAAGTATCTTGCAACTGAAGAAGTATCTTGCAACTGAAGTATCTTGCAACTGAAGTATCTTGCAACTAAAGTATCTTGCGACTAGAATTAGTTTTCTACGTCTAGGAATAGGGTGAAATACTTCTGGACTCGATTCAACATCCCAGTTGCGTTTCCTATAAACTCGGATTCTTCGTAATTTCCGTTGCTCGCATATCTGATTTAATTTTAATCTGTCTGGCGGGCCAATGACGCCCTCTAAGCCTGCGTGTGGCGTCGCAATACACGTCTTTCAGAACTCCAGATCATTTGGGTCCTTTTATCGATGTAGCAACGCTTTAGTTGAATGTTGGAATGAGATCCGAGAACGATGATGGGTCTAGCCCCGAGGATAGGTAACATTCACAAACAGCTGCCGACATTCCCTGTTCATAGAAACTCTTGCAACCACAAAGTAACGACAACTCATGGACTGGAGGGAGTGCATTCCACAAATATAGCCACCAAAAAGAACGGTTGTTTCCGACCTGAGCGTACGGAGTTTGTGTGTCGACTTTTCCGTTGTTGGCCAAAACGTGGCTGTGCGGTGAGATATTCATGTTTTTCCTGTAAACCTCAATTATTTCTTCTTATCGGCCTTGCAAATATGGCTGTTCATGCACTCTGACAGATCAATGGACTTCTATTGTTGTAAGAGGTCACACGCAGAACTCACAAGCTGGACAAGGAGTCTGGCATATTTCTGCTATTGGATGCTAGAAATTTTGAAATCAATTATCTCCACCAAACGTATCAATTCAGCTAAATAAAGCAATTCTTACATGAACTGATCCTGTGAACAATTTCCCTACACCCACTACACCTAAATGGGGCCCTATTAGGTCGTGGAATCGCCCGATTAGGCAATTCGCTCTGCGTACGTAATTTATCCTATCACCCTCCACTGGCTGATTTAGCAGCTCAACTAGCTGTAGGCCCTCTTCAACGGTTAAACTCTCTTTGAAGGGCATCTTCCTATTCGACCGGCTGCGCTTTTTGATGATCTTCTCATTCGCCATGCGTAGAATCGCATTATCCTGAGCAAGTAATGCAGCGCCATGTAAGGATAAGTAGCCGCCCTGTATAATCTGATTCATTACGTCGTTGATTGGCCTTGGAGGGCTTTTTGACTGCCGGTGTAGTAGATCTTTGAGCATTGAAGCTTGCTTTTGTAGCTGAACAACGTTCTAGGCGTTTTAGTGCGAATTAGCTAGATTTGCTGCTTAGTCGGCTGCTCAGTAATGTAGGTGTTCGTTCGGATAGAGATATTAAGCTTTGAAAGGGTCCTTTCAGCATAGATTGGTGGTACTAAACTAGTATCTATAAAGCTATTTTGAATAGTATTTGGCTGAAAGGCTTTTAGTCGCGCGCGTTTGGAAGTTATCCAAGAACTCAGCCTTGTGGATATAGTTATATCCCCAACGGACATGATGGCTCACGAAGCGACCTACGCGCGCCTAAGCCCTGCAAAACACCCAACATCTAATGGCTGTAGTAGATGAGATCAATGCTCAGGCATACATAGTGGTATAATATCGTTTTATGTGCAGATTGGGTCGAATTGAGGTGTAAGGTGGCTACCATGACCGTCAAGAATCAATAATCGAAACGCGCGAATTCGTTGATGGGATAAAGACCATTTGTAACCAACGAAGACCAATTTCATTAGTAGGCCAGCCGTTATCGGAGACCTCAAATCGCCAGTCTTCCGGTAGGTTTTGAATCAATCCTCTATAGCCACCTTGTTTTTGAAGGTTATGCAGGGCGGTAGCGAATAGCCATCTGCGCAGATTGCTTCGATAGCAGTAACCCATTCGCGATTTCCTTGCTGTAGGAGACGTCTCCAACCGTAGAATTCAGCTCGCGTAACCACCTTCTGCGAGGATATAAGGCCCATTGCAAAACCTGTCTCATCAAAGTTATAGATATCTTCCGGTTGTATCCTGTTCTTGTTAATCACGCTTTATACGGCCGTAACACAGGCTCGTAGGGTCTTTGAGTACTAGTTTAATGCGCGATGATAGTTGTATCGTGCCGAGTGACGTTAACGAAGCTCTTCGCGGCGTTTAACGATTTTGGGCCAATTCTTGCCAACAGTAGGGAGAGGTTGGGTGCCGCACGCAGCTAGTAGAATATTGTAAAGATTTACTCTATAAGTCAGGATAGAGGCCTGTCAGTCAGGTAGGAGAAACGGGGCCAAGTCAATTGTTCAGAAAGGTCAAAGACTGTTTCTTGAGGATCGTAAAACCTCTTCAACATGGGTCAATTTATATACAGTCTCATCGCTCAAACAGGAAGGAGATGTATCCTTGGTAGGGAAATGGGAGCGGGGTGAAACACGAGGCTTGTGTAACCTCTGTTCAAGGGTGTTCCCTGTAGGAGTTCGTACACGTACTGATGCCGAAGCCCCAGCGAACCTCCACAGAAAGCCTGCCGGCTTATCAGGTCCGGGAAGCCTGAGGCACCAACACATGGGGAAGGCCCGCCGGCTTATCAGGCCCGAGAAGCCTGAGGCACCAACACTTGGGAATAACCTCATGCCAGGATATATCATAACACCATGCCACCAATCCGCTCTGAATCCTGGCTAAAATCGGCTAATCAGGAGGGCAAGATTCAATTAGCCCTCCAATGTCACGGGTTAGACCCGCTTCTTACTATGTGGCCCTGCCACATAGCCTTCCCCGCACGTTCCGTTCTGCCACCGCCCTGTCTGCTTACTTCTATTGTTGTTCCGCTTGATCCACTCCTTCTCTTCTCCAAGCTTTTTGTAAACAGCATGTTGGCCTAGTTAGATTGAATCTAAGTCTTGCTTCAGCCTTTCACATACAAAAAGCTTCCTTCTCGTGATCGAGTCGTACTAGCCAGCCAGCCAGAATTTCGTTTTCCCCTAGCCAGACCCCCGATTCCCCGCCGAAATGGACCAGAACCAGCCCCTTTTTGCTTTAATTCAGCAACTCCAGCAACAACTCGTCGACCAGCAACGCCAGCTAGAGACCCTCGCGCCTACTCGCTCGCATTTCAGACTACCAGACCCGCCTAGATTCGACGGCCGACCATTTAGTCTAAAGACGTGGCTTCCAGCTATTCAAGCAAAGCTACGGTCGGACGGCTTAGCCGGTCAACAAGCATTCGACTACGTATACGATCGCCTTGAGCCACCCCAGCAAGCCTCAGTCTTACATCTTCGCGAAACCAACCCGACACCCGAAGCAGTCTTCCAGTATTTCGAACGTCTTTGTCATAATCCTCGTGAGAAACAAGATGCAGTTCTCCGATTCGCCAATATCCGCCAGAAAGACGACGAAAGCCTAGTTGCCTACCTCGCCCGATTCGAACGTCTATCGCACGAAGCCAAGGTTCACCAGCAGGATCTACTTCGTACGATTACGCTACACCGCGGACTACGCCCCGCGTTACGCCAGATTCTTGAGCAGTCGTATGACACTCTATTCGATCTCGAATACGATGATTATATAGAACTACTCCAACGTCATGACCGCCGCCAGCAGCGCCCGGTCACCCAACGTCAGAACCAGATTAGCCAGAACCAGAT